AAATGGCTATGTTTAGGGTTAGTGTTATTTTTAGCATTAAGTTTTAAGTTAGGTTAGGGTTAGGGTTCAGTTAGATTTAGGGTTAGGGGTGAGTTTTTGATTAGGGTTAGGGTTAGTGTTAACTTTGAGTATAGGGTTTGGGTCTAATTTGGGTTAGGGTTAGAATTAGGTTTAGGCATAGGGCTAGGGTTATGGTTAGGTTTAGAAAAAAAAGTTGCAATAGAATTTAAAAATTAAAATAGAAAAAGAATAAAGTTCATATGTTATAAAGTAATATTTCATAAAATGTTTAATTATAGGTGCTTGTGTGTGTGTGCGCACACACATGCATCTATGCTTGGTTGTTAAGTAAAATATATTTTACTGTGGATCACAGTCTGAAAAAATAGTTAATCTATATGATGACTATATAAGCCAGCTCTTTGCATGTCTGGCTCCTTCTTGTCATTTAGGTTTGACCTCGACCTTCCTGACTTATTCCAATTAATATTGCCTCCTCCAACACTTGTTCTCCCAGTATTTTGTTTATTTTATTTATTTATATAATCTATCAATATTTAAATTATGTTACTGTTTATAATGTTTCTCCTCCACTAAAATAAAGCTAATGAGATGATAGATCTTATTCCCTGCTGTGTTCTCAACACCTAGAACAGTGTCTGACCACCTATAATATCCACTCAATAAACATTTCTTGGTAGGATTAACTTTATAAATAAGTAACTTGCCAAAGCTCACCTAAATTAGATTTTAACTACACTCCAAAAGCATGTGTAGCTTATGTCTGTGATCTCCTAATACAATCAACATTTCCTGGTGGGCCTGAAGCTGGGATTCCAGCAATCAATTTCACAGTCCTGAACTATGGGAAAGTTGTAAAATCATACTTTTACCACTGTAAAAATAAAAGCTTAGTTTGAGGACAGTAAGAATCTGATGAAACTGTAAACCAAATGATAGCCTAGCTAGGTAAAGTAGTCTTAGCTGTAGGTCCTTACTTTTCATCACTTTGAATATTTCATGTCAATCCCTTCTGCCCCAAAATGTTTCTGTTGAGAAATCAGTTGCCAGTCTTATGGGAGCTCCCTTGTGGGTAACTGTCTTTCTCTTGCTGTTTTTAAGATTCTCTCTTTGTCTTTAACCTTTGCCATTTTAATTAGGATGTGTCTTGGTGTGGGCCTCTTTGAAATCATCTTGTTTGGGACTCTCTGTGCTTCATGGGGTTGTATGTCACTTTTCTTCACTAGATTATTGAAGTTTTCAGTCATTATTTCTTCATATATGTTCTAGATCCCTTGCTTGCTTTCTTCTCCTGGTATTCCTCTAATACAGATGTTGGTTCACTTTATGTTGTCCCAAAGTACCCTTAAACTATCCTCATTTTTAAAAATTCAAATTTATTTATTTATTTTTTAAATTAGAAGGGAGAAATAGAAATGTTGATGTTAGAGGGATACATTGATTGACTGCCTCCTGCATGCCCTCTACTGGGGATTGAGCCCACAACTCGGGCTTGTGCCCTGACTGGGAATTGAACCAAGACCTCTCAGTCCATGAGATGATGCTCAATCCACTGAACCATACCAGCTGGGCATAACGTTTTTTTATTTTTGCTGGTCTGATAGGGTGTGTTCTGCTTCATTTTTTCCCAAATCGCTAATTCAGTCCTCTGCTTCATCCAATCTATTGTTTATTCCTTCAAGTGTATTCTCCAATTCAGATATTGTTTTCTTCATTTCTGACTGGTTCTTTTCTATGGTTTCTATGTTCTTTTCATGGTGTTGTAGTCCTCACTAACTTCTTTGTAGCTCTCAGTAAGTTCCTTGAGCATCCTTAGAGCCATTTTTTAAAAAAACTCTGTATCTGGTAAATTGCATGCCTCCATTTTATTTAGCTCCTTTTCTGGAGATTTCTCCCATTCTTTCATTATGGGCGTGTTTCTTTGTCTTCCTATTATGGCTGCCTCATTGTTTTTATTGCTATATATTAGGTAGAACTGCTATGTCTTCCAGTCTTGGTAGGGTGGGCTTATGTAGTTGGTGTCCTTGGGGACTCAGTGGTGCAGTCTCCTTGTTCAACTGAGCTGGGTGCTCCAGGAATGTCCCTTGTGTGGGTTATGTGGGCCCTCTTGTTGTAATTGAGTCTTGATTGCTATTGACCTGTTTGTGCATGGGGTTGACTCTTAGGCTGACTGACTGTGAGCACTGACCTTGGTCATAGTATTTAAGCTTCTATGCAGATGTTGACCACACACAGTAGTTTACTTTAGCAGGGTCTGGTGCCTGCCAAAATGTCCCTTTGGATATAACACTTACTAAGATAATTGGATCCTGGTCTGATGTTATCTGAAGCTGGCCACTGGGTGTGCTGGTTTTGGAGCCTCTTGGGAGGGACTCTGGTGCAGGTCAATGTCAGAATCTAATTGTGACTGGCCCTGGGCAACCTGTTTGGAGCTATAAAATGATCCAAAGTGTGTGGCTGCCTCTGCTGGGCCTGGGTGTGTGTGGAAAGAACCAAGCTGCACACTAAGGCTGGCTTCCACCAGCACTGAGCCTGGGGGCAGAACAGCAAGAGGCCCAAGGCTCTCCCAGATCTGTCTCCACCTGCCAGCTGGCTGCTTGTTAGGCTCAGTCACCGAAAGAGCCTCTGGCAGTACTAGAGTTCTATAAGGTAGGTTCTCAGTGAGTCACCAGGTAGGGGTGAGTGGTGTTCACCAGATTTATACAGGTTCAAGCTCAGTACCAGTGCTGGGTCTGAGACCACTCAGCAAAAGTTCCCAGGTTAAACCAAATCTAGCTGCCATGCCCCTGGTGCTCCTAGACCTTTGTGGTGGGGCAGGGTCTCAGGTCAGAGTGAGGCCCACAGAGTTTGGCCCAAAAAGACCAGGATTTGTCCATGTGAAGGGAGGGCTCCGCACTAGTCACACATGCGAGGGAAAAATGGTCCCCGTACAAGAGCCACACAACTTAGTCTGTCCCAGATTCTGCTGGGAACCTGAGCTCAGCAGGGCAGGGCTGCAGGAAGTCAGGAGGCTAGTGGATCTCATGTGAGTGAAAATCAGTGTCCTTCTTGAACCTTTCTAATGTCAAGAATGTGTCTGTGCATATGTGTGAATACAGATGTACACATGATCTTGGAACTTCTGGTGAGTACTGTACTCTGCCTATTTTGTGGCACCAAAGTACTACTGACTAGATAACCTCCAATTACTTTGTACCTACTTTGCCATAGTAATGGGTTTTAAGTAATGGAAAATGTAGATGGTAGGACAGGTTCTGGAGCCAGAGTGCCTGGGTTTAAATTCCATTTGCACTATTTACCAGCTGTGCTAAGTTTGGACACATTCCTTAATTTCTCTGAGCTTCGTTTTCTTTATTTGTATAATTAGAGACCTCACAAAGTTAGTATGTTAATTGACCTAATAATGTATGTGAAGACTTGGCACATGGAAGTCAGAGTGTTTACTAGTTATCACAATCCCTATACTAAACTCTTTAAATGTTTTTCCCCCTCTAATTCTCACAACAATCCTATGAGGTAAGTTATATAAGACACCCCTTCCTTCCCTTATGGATAAGAAAGTATGATCCAGGTCCATGAATTCACAACTAAGGTGCAGAACTAGTATTAGAATGAAGTCTTAATCACATGCCCAGACCAGGTTTCCTAACGACAATGCCAATATGGGCATTCCAGCATTGCAAAACTTATGAATAATCAACAAGCCATCTCTACTCTGCTGTAGCTGTCCTAACATCTGTATCTGAACAAGGGATTATATTACACATGTGCAAACACATATCCATCATATCCATCACATGTAGTTCTCCAAAAGAGGTTAAAAACCAAGGCACTATAGTACATTTATCAAAATTTGTCCCCGTGCCTTTGAATCCTCCTTTTTAGGCCATGACCCCACCAATAAAAGGAATCTATGTAATCCATTTTATAGACTTACCTAATTAACACTGTTAGTAAAAAGCGGTTGGCTTTCAACAAAGATTTGTTGAGTAAAGAAAATAATGCATGAGAAAGGTCTCTATAAAATCACAAAGTACAAACCAAACTTTTATAAAGTTGCCTAAATTATTATAAACTTATATTTATATTTTTGTTTAAAAATTTATTATTATAGTTAGAAAACTATAAAGTTATAAAGCCAACTTAATAATAATTATTAAAAATAATAAGAGGTATAACACTTGTTGAAGATTCACTACATGGGAGGTTAAAGGCCTTATCATTATTATTCTAATCCTCATCACGACCCTGGAATGTAAGTCCCATTATTTTCATAGAAGAGAGCACACTTAAGATCATATATTAGAAGTGCATTTCTATATGAAACTCCTTTTGTGTATAAAAAATATTTTTGAAAGAATGATATACAGTATATTTCTTTTCATCACCCCCAAAAGAAATTCCATATACAATAGCAATCAGATCTAACTTTACATACTTTACATGCATAAAAGAAATGCAAATTCTTTTAAATAAAGCATCTAATAAATATATGTATGAATGTATATTTGACACAGCGAATGCAAAAGAAAATCATGAAAGGAATTCTAAAGGAGAAAATATGACTTGGTAGGCCTTCTGTAATTTTGCCTTAGTAACATCATCTTCCATTTCAGGGTAAGTAATCAAGAACCAACATCCAATTCCAGTTATTGTGGGTCAAATGCAATCTCAAGAACTTCTTAGCATTTTTATATTCACAACCAAATAGTAACACCAGAATGGAATGTAGGTAAAATAGTGTACATTCCAGTTGCCTTTGATATTCACTCTAATATTATATTACTGTCAAAGAGGAAAGCTTAAGAGAATAAAGTCACAAAGGTTAAGACGAAGGTAAATTTTCTCTTTCAGTATGATATATTCATGCATATTTTCTAAGAGCCCACAGCTTTGCATTTGATAATGTACAACAATCACTAAAGCACAATTTAATAAATTCTGTACCCACCCACTTCGAATAATGTAAAGGAACTCACTGTTGATAAATGCACATTCTTCTTCATTTTCATTACTGTCATCAAATGGAGCTTTATAAGGAGGTGGCAGTTTCATTGGAGGTGGAGCACTTCCTTGCCTCTGAAGATGTAAAATTAAGAGAAGTGTGAATTGCCTTTGTATAATTCTCTTCTTCAATGGCAAGCAGGATGAAAAGATAATCTGTATCCAATTTCAGTTATATCACGAATTTACTTTATGTTTATGCTGTTAATGTAAAAGTGACTCTGTGATGTAAACATTCCGATATAGAAAACAGGAATTCAAAGGCACAGCATTCAGATTGTAGACCTACCTAGAAGAATGAATTCCTTTTCCCAGTAAGAAAGCCAATTATATGTCTTTTCTTTATACTGTTAAAGCTTAATTTTCTTTGTTACCAAACCAAGTAATTCAAATGAGAGACATATCCAAATAAAATCTAAATGTAAAAACTACTTACTATATTAAAATTATACAATTAAACTTTTTATTTAATTGTAGAAGATATAGATTTCATTATAAAAACATACTTAACATAAAATACCAAGACTTTCTAACTGAAAAGGGCAGTCAGCACACATTTCAATGTTTTTTAAAAAAGGAATCTTTATGATGAATACATTTTGTATGTCTAAGCATTTAAAAAATATACATGCTGAGTGTATACAACACATCAATATTCGGTTCAAACAATTACAGCAGAAAAATACTCTATAATCAGTTTACCTTCACAGGATGTAGACATTTTCTTAAATTCTGGGTAAAATAAAACATGCCAAACTTTATGGAGAGATCCAAGCTGCTAAAGAAAAGGAGCAGATAGATCCGAACACTCCACAAAGTCCTAAACAATTAGATTAAGATTTGTTTTGCTACAGGATTTCAACAAAGTACATTCAATTATGATTTATATGACAAAACCACTAATGGCAGGATATACTTCAGTAAATGGACAGTGACTGGGCCATTACAGAAAGCAGGCATGTAATAAGTTCCTCCAAAACAGAGAACACTATGAGATCCATAAAGGAAAACACATACCCAAATTTATTTAAATAGTGTGTAACCAACGCAGTACTTCAGATATATGTAGAAAATCCCAAAATTGATAAAATTCAAGAACGATGGAGGAAGAGAAGATGCCAAATATAAAATGCTTATTAAGCAACAAAAGAATACATAAATTGATCACAGTGTTCCTTTAATTCTTGCTTGAAAAAAAATTAAGAGTTAAGTGAACAGTAAAAAAGGCAAATGAGTTTTTTTTCCAGTAAAAACTTTTCCCAGAACCAGATCATTCTAGATCAAAGCCAATACTCAGAACAAGGACAGCCAGCTTTTAACATAATATTAAAAGATATAAATTTAAAAAAAAATTTTTTTTTCTTTATTGATTTTAGAGAGAGAGGGAGAAGGACAGAGAGAGAGATAGAAACATCAATGAGAAAAAACATTGATTACTGCCTCCTGCATGTCCCACTGGAGATTGGGCTCACAACATGGGCATGTGCCCTGACCAGGAATCCAACTGGTGACCTCTTGGTGCATGGGTCCGATGCTCAATCACTGAGCCACACAGGCTGGGCAAGATAGAAATTCTTTAATAGCACTTTTTTATATTTAAGGGGAAATTGTTTACACAACCCATTTATTTAATTAACTCTACCAACACTCTCGAGAAGGATACAGGATATACATGTCTTGGTCTCCCTCTAGTTTGAATCTGGGTTGCCTGATACCTGAGGCATCTGTCTACTGCACATGAGAGAAGGCTGTAGGCAGGGTCAGGCTCTCCCCATAGCAATGAAGGCTGGAGCTAGGCATATACAAGGAGGCCAGGTGAACATAATCTCCACCAGGGCAACACAGACAATGTGGCATCCTCAGCTCCAAGCATAGTTCATGGTAAAATTGGTAGGCCTTCCTTAAATATGAGTAAATAACTGATTGTCACTCGTGCTGTTCAGGTGCCTGAGAATATTAACTTTTAGAAAAATGACAATGGTGCAAATGGTTCTTGTCCAATAGCATTGCATATTAATTTTGTCTGGTAGAGACACAAAGTATTTCAGTCCTGTAGAAAGAATAACTCCAAAGGTTACAGTTTTATTGCCCTGTAGGACATTAACCAGTTTTGTACCTAAGTTTGAATCTTACTACAATGAGTTAAGTAAATACCTGGCATGTATGTAAGGAAATATACTTTGCATAATTTTATAGGTCATATTTTTATTTTTTTCTTAAATTATACTTTGTCAGTTTTGGAGGCCCTGAAATGTTCAAGTAGACTCACCTTCCAGCACCAATGAAATAGAGATGCTTGTGATACGCAATTTGTGAGCTAGTTAACCCCATACACATGATTTTTGGCTTCCACAGTAAAGCCCCAGTCATAACAGAACTTTGTTGTTTTCTTAGCCTGTTTCTCCATTTTAACATGTCCAATTTTATGTTTTTGTTACTGAAATCACTCTGCGTATGAAACTAAGAACAGCCCTTTCCTTTCATTGTGAGTGTGTAATATTTTCCTATAGTCAGTGTATGAATAAATTAGATGTAAATCTCCTAAAGAATTTCTTTCTGGTTGGTGTATAAAAACTTAGATGCATTATTTAAATCTAATATTTCCAGAAAACAGTGAAACTAAACTTATGTTATTTTCGATATTCTAGCCTTTTCATTAAGACAAACAAAAACACCCTTTTGACAGAAACCACCAACTCGAAAGCATTGTTATACAAGAATCCAAATTCACAAAATCAAAGTGATTAGGTAATTTTGTTTTGGAAACAGGCATACTTTCTCTCTGATCTCCTTGGCGTGGAGTATAAACAAGGATTTATAAGACTATACAAACAGGTATACCAATGTTGAATGGTGCTCACGTCTACATGCTCTGTGTGTGTGTGTGTGTGTGTGTGTGTGTGTGTGTGTAAACGAATACTGCAAATTCTTACACATTAACCTGAGCATCATCAGCCAGTTCGAAGGCCTCACACAATGTGGAACAGCACTGATGGACGCTGTGTTATTTGTTCCTGTTAAAAATGATCAGAGAGCAGACATTCTGTGACACTCTACGTGCCCTCGGGAAGTTCACAAGAGATCATTTTGATCTTTGTAAAATGCCTTCACGAGGTTTCTCTCAGTCCCAGAGTCTAGCATGGCCACATTTTCCACTTGGAATAGATGTGTCTTAACCCTATTGAGGTTTAATTTACATATAGTAAAATGTATTCATTTTAAGAACTCGCCTGTAATAAATACATTTTTATAATGTATTTCACTAATAGAATAGTCCCTAAAAATATAGTCATATTAAACTTACAGTTGAATGCAAATATCTTTGCTATATATTGAAAATCAATTTGGTTTAATGGAATAAGCCAAAGTTGACAAGAATCATACATTTATCTTTTACCTCCCTGGGATCTTATGTGAACTTTCCTGAGTCAAATATATTATTTTGTTTCTCCAAAGTAATTAAATTAGTAAACACTATTCATCTATGTGTGTTTATTATGTGTGCCCACAGAGGGCTCCCTCATCTGTTTTCCTTTTGGATGTTATATGCCAGCGATTGCACAGTAACAGGCACACTGCAAGTTTCCAGTAAGCAACTGATGGATGCTCAGACCTTAGAATCAACATATAAATTCACAAAATTCCATCAAGAACATAGACTAAATATTCTGAGAAACCCTTCTTAACCACATAAAAATGACAAATAATGTTTTAAAAAAGTGTTTTTGTAACATGTGACCAAGAACGGAAATGTACTTAATGCTAAAGGGCATGTGACAATCTGTGGTGGCTTGAAGCCAGTGATTTAGTTTTGATTTGAGGAGTCCTTTTTTTAAAAAATTGTTTTCATAGATCAATGATGCTTTATTTATTTATTATTTTTAATTTACTGGAGTGACACTGGTTAACAAAATTATACAGGTTTCAGATGCACAGTTCTTTAACACATCATCTGTACATTGTATTGTATGTTCACCACCCAAGTCAAGACCATCACTATTTATCTTCCCTATACCTCTTCCACATTCCCACACTGTTGTCCTCCTCCATGAGTTTTTGCTATTTTGAAGGATCTTTATTCAATCAACAAGTACGCATTGTGTGCCTATTAGGTGTCAGGCAATATTCTAGGCAATGGGGATGATTATGAGACAGAGGAGATCCCTGCCCCCTGTGGAGCTTATATTCCAGCTCCGTTCAGATGCCATGTTTGTGGGTCTTCACGTTTTGTCCTAAACTGCTTTAAAGCAACAGTCTCTGAATTCTGTATTATTTGCTTTGCCCCACTAGAATGCAAGCTCCAGGAGGGTAGGACATTTTTGTATATATTTAAAAGCTTTATTGTGGTGTATTGAGATAAACTAACATCTCAAAGTGGACAATTTGAATCCATTACCATAATCAAGACAATGTACATTACCATCACCGCCCCAAGTTTCCTCATGCCTCTTTTTTTTTTTTTATCCTCACCCGAGGATATTTTTCCATTTTTTGTACAGATAGAGTGGGAGGGAGAGAGAGGAAGGGAGAGAGAGAGAAACATCGACGTGAAGGGACACATCAAGTGGCTGCCACCCGCACGACCAACCAGGGCCGGGGACAAACTGCAACCGAAGTACGTGCCCTTAGCGGGAACCGAACCCGGGTCTCTCTGTACCGCAGGCCGACGCTTTAACCGCTGAGCCATACTGGCCAGGGCCTCATGCCTCTTTTTAATCCCTCCTTCACACCCCTCCCCTGGCACCCCATTCTCCTGGACTACAAATCTCCTTTATATCACTACTGGTTGTATTTTCTAAGGTGTTTATGTAAATGTAATCATACAGTTTCTACTTATTTTTATCTAGTGAGAGCTAGGGATTTAATTAGGTATAAGTCTCCATTTGAGGTCAAACAAGGTGAAAGGCGGAACTATAGATACCACCCTCCCAACCTCAATCCCTGCAAAAAAAAGCCCATAGCTCCAAAAGATGGGAAAGAATTCTGCAATCTGTACATAACTCACCCTTCTAAACCACAGTTTTCCAGAATCTACCTATTATCTGTTTATTAACAGTTGCCAAAAACAAACCACAGAATCCTGCATCCACAGTATATGCTACTGTTAATCTTTGTGAGTAAGATCTGAATGCAAAGAAGGTGGCCAACAAGGTTAAAACAGACAATCCTATAATTTGGTAATCAACCTAACGTTACTTTTCCTTAGCCTTTTGAAGAGCCCTCCCCCCAAATCCTCAAGAAGTCTTGATTGGCCCCAGTGTACATGTCTGTAAATAAAGTTGTCCCGTGTTCAATTCAGTTATAGCTCCCTTTATACCAACAAATGTAAAAAGTTAGCATGGTGGAATCTGCAATAAAGTTAAAAACAAACAAATCAAATAAACAAATGAAAATCTTGATCACATGCTCTAGTAGGAATGTTTCCTGGCCTTGGCTTTAGCTTCGGGTGGGAGGAACAAAAGAAAAGAGAAAAACCAGTGTTCCTTGAGAATTCCTTATAAGCCCAGACACACCCAGGTTGGAGACCTGATTTCATTCTGTGTGTGGCTCAAAAATTTCCAAGCCAAAATACCAGGCAAACACAAAAAGGAAGCTGGTGTAATTTTAGTGATATTAAATGAAATAGATGTTAAGGCATTATTAAATAATGTCACGTATTAATAACAGGATCAGTTCCCTAGGAAGATATAAACATTTAAAACTTGTAAATACCTAATAAATTAATTTGAATAAATATAAAATAACCAAAAAACTAAATAAAAAATAGGCTAATTGTGCCATCAGAAGGGGAGATTGTTAGGATACCCTGACCCCCTTCCTAAATCAGTTTGTACATAAAATATCTTAATAACTCAATTAATTAGTTTGCCCTAATGACTTTGTACAAGAACCTACAACTAATAACCAGATAATAGCTATTTTTTAAAATCACAAATATACATTTGCAATAACTGATAATGTAGTAGGCCATAACAAAATGTCAACCAAAGTAAGAGAATATTACACAAACCAAAATCTGATTATAACTAAAATATATTAGAAAATAGTGACAATAAGTTTTTAAAATAATTCAAATAGAAATTTAAACATACATTCATAAATAAATGGCTACTAAAGAAGTCATGTTGGGAGCTAAAAAAAAACCCAAAATACTGAACAATAGAAATTCAATTTAAAATCTTGGGATGCAGCCCTGGCCGGTTTGGCTCAGCGGTTAGAGCGTCGGCCTGCGGTCCTGAGAGACCCGGGTTCGGTTCCCGCTAAGGGCGCGTACCTCGGTTGCAGTTTGTCCCGGGCCCTGGTCGGTTGTGCGGGTGGCAGCCACTCGATGTGTCCCTTTCACATCGATGTTTCTCTCTCTCTCTCTGTTCCTCTCCCCCTCCCCCCCCCACTCTACCTGAACAAAAAATGGAAAAATGTCCTCGGTGAGGATAAAAAAAAAAAAAAAATCTTGGGATGCAGGTAAAGAGGTACTTAGAAAGAAAATAAATGATTATTTTAGAAAGAAATGGCTAAAAATTAATAAACTCTATAACTAGCTCAAGATTATTAGCAGTAAAAAAGGAAAAGAAACCCTAACAAAGAAGTAAGACAATATAAGGATGAGAACAAAAATTAATTAAGCAGAATAAAGATACAACAGAGAAGACTAACACAGTTCAAAAGTTAATTCTTCAAAATGAAGAATTAAATAGAAAATAACTTCAATATTAAGAAAGAAATGTAAAAAATATATATATTCAGAAAGAAAATCCAACTACTATGGAGAGAGCCTAGATAATACAAATTAAAAGAATGTCTGAACAACTTTATGCCAACAAATGTAAAAAATTAGGTGATACTATATTCTTAGAAAAGAGTTAGCAACCAAAACTGACTCTAACAGAAACAGAAAATCTGAATAGTTCAATAATTATTAAAGAACTAAATTCATATTTTAGATTTTTCCCACATAGAAAACACAGGCCCACAATGGCTTCATAGGCTAGCTTGACCAAACATTTAAGTAATAGATAATCACCATTTTATACAAAGAGAGAACTAAAAAGAAAAAGAAAATATTCACTGTTTATTATTCATTACAGTAGTCTCATATAACCAACGTCAGATAGAATAGTACATAAATGGAGAGTTATAGGGCAAGCTTATTCATGACCACAGATGCAAAAACCCTAAAAGAAATATTAGAAACAGTTAAAGATTTTGATGAAATTAAGTTTAAGGCAAGAATTCAAGATTGGTTCAACAGCACAAAATCTATTAATGTGATTTATTTACCACATAAAAGGATTCAGGAGAAAAAATTCATACACATACACACAATTATTTCAGTGAATACAGATAATAATTTAATAAAATTTAATGCCAATGTCATTCATTATAAAAATTCTTAGCAAAATAAAAATGAAAAAGAATACAACCTTAACCTTAAAGGCTATCTACAAAAATTTGCAGCATACATCATATTCAATGATGAAACATTAAAAGCATTTTTTTTTTTAAATATCAGAAAGAACACCGACAAGAATGTTAGCTATCAGTACTTCTATTAAACATATTAGAGATCTTAGCATATATAATAAAACAAGAAAAATAAAGATTGGTAAAAAGAAAACTGCCTTTGTCAAAGTGGTTATTATTAGCTATGTAGAAAATCCAGAAATAAAAATCTAGCCCTGGCTGGTTTGGCTCAGCGGTTGGAGTGTTGGCCTGTGGACCAGAGAGTCCCAGGTTTAGTTCCCGCTAGGGGCATGCACCAAAAAAAAAAAGAAAAAGAAAAAGAAAAAAAAAATCTATAGACATAGCATTAACATTAGAGATTCATAGTCTTCTTTAAAAATCAATTAACTAATTAATTAAGTTTTATGGTTTCTTTTTCTTAATTCTTTTTTTATATCTTTTAAAAATATTTTATCTTTATTGTTGAAAGTATTACAGATATCTCTCCTTTTTCCTCCATTGACCCCCTCCACCCCACTCCTGCCCTCCACCCCCGACCTCGGCCTTTACTGCACTACTGTTCGTGTCCTTAGGTTATGCATATAGCATATATGCATATAAGTTGTTTGGTTAGAGGTTCATATTCTTATTAAAAACACTTTATATATACCTATAAGCACATACCCAAGTACACTAGAAGGATCTATATGAAATAGTTAATATGTTTATCTTTAGATAGTGGGTTTATGAAAGATTTTAATCTTTTTATTTCAGCATTTTGATTTTCCCAGTGTTCTACATTTTATTTTATAAAAGAATAAGAGAAAGTTATGTCAAATAAATATATATAAAAATCAATTTTATGTCTAAGCACTAGCAACAAATAGAAAATACAATTTAAAAATATTTAAAAGCAACACAAAATATATAAGGATGTCTAGGAATAAAACAAAGATTACAATACCTTGCTGAAGAAAATTATAAAAATTGAAAGAAATAAAAGAAAAAATATAAGTTCTAAAATGGTATGTAAAAGATATACCATGTTAATGGTTAAGAAGGTTCAGTATCATAAGGATGTATCTTTCCAAATTAATCTACAGATTTGACACAATTCCAATCAAAATCACCAAAGAGCTATTTTTGTGGAATTTAACAAGCCACTTCTAAAATTTGTCTGGAAAAGAAAAAGGACACAAATAGGTAAGACACTTATAAAGAAGAAGAAATATGTAAAGAAAATCGTTCTCTGAGAAGACAGGATTTGTTATTAGGCTTAATATTTAGGTAGTGCAGCATTTGTGCTGAGAGAGACAAAGAAAGCTCAGGAACAGACTCCCCTTGATAACCTGAGACACGACAGAGTTTGGGTTGCAAATCAGTGGGTAAAGGAGGGCCTATTTTTAGAAAGTGAGATAATCATTCCCATGGGAAAAGAAAAGAAAAGAAAATTCATTGCTCCCTGACACCATATTCTAAAACAAATTTTAGACCAACTCATTCTACCAGAATAGAGGTGGGAAAACAGGAATGGATTCTGATAGATGGTAATGAATATTTTGTCACTAGAGATGACCTTTGACCTGCTCTTTGGAGGATAAAAAGGAAGACCAATATGGGAAATGAACTTCCAGGCTAAGAGAACACCAAGATCAAAGTCTCAGGAACTCCCAGGTGTGCAAGGCATTTTCGGAGAACAGACAGACAACTAGCCCAGCTGGACAGAAAGGAGACATAAAGATGACAATGGCTGATAGGTGCTTTATAAGATTTTTACACCTATGCTTCACTAGTTTTCTGGCCTTCACCCTGGCCAATTACGTTACCAGAAAGAAACTATTATAAATACAGTACTTCTACCTGGATACTCATCAAAATAACATTCTGACTAATTGCAGCTCAAATAGGCAAAAAGTAACCAAAATATATTGTAAAAGCTTGAGAGGTTCAAGTTACCTTTTCGTTTTTTCCTTGAGTGTCTTGGTCCTGGTTATTAGTGATTCTGTTCGCCTTGTTATGCACAGTAGGAATGGCCTACCACCAAAAAAAACGGGGGGATGGGAGAAGGGGAAAACATTAAAACATTTAAATGACACAATCATTACATTTATGTATTTTTTAAAAACAGTTAAAAATCTTAACTCTTTGACTTCATTTATAACATACGGACATGAGAAGTACAATTCAAGGCAAACAATACAACTTGGGAAATCTGACAAGCAATATAATCACAAATTGTGCTGTGTGTGTGATTAAAGGGTAATAAATCTACAAGCTTATGTGTATAGAACCAGAAAGTAAAGATGAAGAAGATTAAAATAAAAGTTATGATACTGTTGTCCAGACATCTCATTTTGCAAAATACAGTATAATACAGTTAATTCCTAGAACATAGGATGCATCATTTATTTGATAGATTTATCTTATTCATCACTGTACCCCAGGTAAAGTATGTTATCTAACATACTTGTGCACATGCAATAAATATTTTACTATCACTGTTAGCATAGAGATGAACTTCAAATCTATTTACATCACTGAATAAAAGCCCATTAAGAGCTGGAGTTTAGTGCTATTTCTCACCGTAACTCTGGTGCTCAGAAAGAGCCTAATACATAGTTGCACTCAATAAATGTTTATACATGAAGGAAAGAGTGTAATTACATAGAAATAGCTTTAATCCTTTATGGTACCAGTAGCACAGATTACTTTTTATAAAACTATGTATGAAACACCTTAGGAAAATTTTTAGCATTATTTTAAGGCTCCTCAAACAGCTAATACAAATAATCTTGGCATAAAAATCTGATGACAGACATAAAGATTAAAAGAAAAAACAAATCTTTCTCACAAATGTAAGATAATTTTAAAAAATTTTCTCTCTAAATGCAATGTTTTAGTAAGATTTGTGCCCTGGCCGGTTTGGCTCAGCGGTTAGAGCGTCGGCTGCGGTCCAGAGAGACCGGGGTTCGGTTCCCGCTAAGGGCATGTACCTCGGTTGCAGTTTGTCCTCGGCCCTGGTTGGTTGTGCGGGTGGCAGCCACTCGATGTGTCCCTTTCACATCGATGTTTCTCTCTCTCCCTCCCACTCGATCTGAACAAAAAATGGAAAAATGTCCTCGGGTGAGAATAAAAGAAAAAAAATAAGATTTGTTTTTTTGTTTATTATTATTATTTTTAGTCTTTACCCGATGATATTTTTACATTTATCCTCATATGGGGGGGGGGGGCGGACACCGATGAGAGAGACACATTGATTGGTTGCCACCTGCACGACCCCAACTGGGTCCGGGGAGGAACCGCAACCGAGGAACGTGCCTTTGGCCAGAATTGAACCTGGGACTCCCTGGTCCGAAGGCCAACACTCCAATTGCTGGGCCAAACTGGCCAGGGCTCTAAATGCTATTTAAGATAAATTTTTCTTCACTTTTAATGTAGATTCTATTTTTATTTATTTATTTATTTATTTATTTATTTATTTATTTATTTATTTTTTACAGAGTGGGAGGGAGAGAGAGGAAGAGAGAGAGAGGGAAACATCAATGTGAAAGGGACACATCGAGTAGTTATGTTATTAAGTGGGAAAAAATTACATTTGCATAAAAACTATAAAGGAGTACAGTATAAATCATGGATTCCACTCTCAATTAAGCATTTACTAAGTAAATCTAAATGGATACAAACATTTCTTTCTTGTATGCTAAAATACACTTGAGAAATTCCGGAGAAAAAGCTTAAAGGTAATATATTGTTGATACACATAAAGCATCTGTTACAAGCACAAGTATACAAAATAACATAAAATACAACTCAAAGGAAAAAAAGTACAAAGTTAAACACCACTGCTCAATTCATGGTGTTGACGAGAACTTCCATGTGACCAAGGCACAGTTAGACATAGGGCCTTTGATGGGTTTGACATTAGAAAATGACTTCTTTTGGGGGCTTCGAAAGGCAGGCTCATAGTGATGTAAACTGGCCAAAAATGATAATGCATTTGGCTGTATTTCCTATTTCTGTGATGATCAACACTATTTGCAACAATATGTGAGCCGAAGAGAACGTTTTGTAAAAATGTGAATCTTGATCCCTTTCATTGGCTCATTGAACAGAAATCATTTTGTGCTAAAGTGTGGAACAAGTCATGGGCAGAGTAATTAACACCATCACCTGAATATGCTCCCTTGGCTGGAACCACGGAGAGTTCAAGGCTCGATGAACCGAAAGTGCAATGTGGCAGTCTGTTGTGCTGCACGGGGGTGGTTGGAGGATGAGGGCCTTGAGCATGGCATGATGCTGAAAGGATTTTCTTTTTCTTTTTTTTGAAGAGTTGAAAGAAAGTGCACTGTTTATGTCATCCAGGTGAAAAAGTCCACCTCAGCTCACTAGCAAAGGCTGGTCTGAAAGCCTTTTAGGTTGACTTTATAACCTATTTGACTGCTTTCAATATTTCCTGGCAGGGATTTGACGAGTGCCTCATAAATGTATAATTTGATTGGTTCATTCCAGTTCAAAACTGTTTCTTTGGAAGTATCATTTGGTGAATAACCATGCCAATTTTCCTACTGAACTTAGTTTCCAGAAATAAAAGTAAACTGCTTTCTCGATATTATAAAAGTTTAAAAGTAGATTCCAAAAAAAAAATCTTGAATTTCAAATGGTATGAAAATGAGAAGGCTTTATTCAGTTCACCTCTCCCAACTAGTCCCGACGGTGTGTGAACACAGGCTAGGCCTGAAGGGACTGAACCGCAACACAATGCTGCTCAGTAGAGCTGCCTGAGTGGGGAGGGCTGCAGCCCGTGTGCACGCACGTTCCAAGCATGTCGAAATAGCATATTCATGCTGTGGCCCTTGGGGCATCTGTTTGCCCAGTTTGACATACAATTATTTTCTGTATGCCTTGACATATAGAAATACAGCACTGCAATACTGTATTGGACAGCAAAATTTAAAAAAATATGCAGTTTTTCTTGTGCTCAGGCATGCCTGTATGTTGAACAGCTGCCTTCCAATATAAAGTTAAAAAATAAACACTGTGCCCAGTAAGAAGGCTCAAAGAGGACATGGCTGCTGCACACTGCAATATAATATACACATCCTGCCACAGACATCTGGGTATCAGAGTTCTAATTCCATGTCAAAAGATTGATTTATTGTAGAGGGAAAATTATGATTAAATATTGCTATTTTTAAATTCAGAATCTCCAACAGAATGTACAATACAACATGTTTGCATTTTTACATGCCTTAATAGATATACAGAACATTTGATAGCATCTGTAGCATGTTTTCATACTTGACCCTCTTTATGTTCAAAGTATTTTATAAACAAAATAACTCTCAGAAAAGTTAAGTGACTTGCCTCCAGTTAGCAAAGCTGGTAATAGGGACTCAAACTCAAAAGGACTATTTGATTCCACATCTTGTGACCTATACCAATACATACTGGAATGACTCAAATTTAATCAGATCACAAGTGGAGGGGAAAAAAGGGGGGAAACTGAAATGAATAAATTTTTATGAAGCCAATGCTTTCTCTAGGTAACAGTAGAGTAAAAAAGTGGAAATATATGAAAAAATTCTTGGAAGCTAAAGCTTGGTACAGATACAGAGAATATTTTTAAACTTTTTGAAAATACAAGCTAAAACTTACTCTTGGAGTGGATGACAAGCTCTGGACAACGAACACCACAGGGTTTCCAGCATTCTTAATGGCCTCCACTGCTTCGCTGTGTGAGGCGTTCTGCAAATCTACTCCAGACACCTACAGCACAGAAGTCATTTATTTCAATTAGAAAGGTGGTGGATATTGTGGATAGGTTAATTCAAGGTTCATGTGTTTCATAGAGGTATGAGAGCTCCCAGAGTCTAATGAATTAGACCTAAGCCAGAAAGAAAACAAGATTGGCCCATAAAAAGCTCTGCTGTTTTGGAACACGTTAATGGAAGTAACGGTTTACCTTCAAGAAAAGTAAATAAGACAAATATCTTAATAACAATAGTCCTGGTTAAATGTAATTATTCAAAATAGTAGCTCAGTCAGTAACAAAACCTTAAGCTTTTGAGATTATAACATCACCCCTGTCACTAACACAGTACATAGTTCTGGGTGGGGAAGGGGAGAAGAGGGGATCTCTTTGGACTCCTCTCTCAATTAAACCGAGAAGAATGATTATTTTCAGCATATTGTCCATTATCACAATTGAGTAGTTTAACATTTCTTAAATTACATTTTAAAAAGTATGAAATTATCCACAGGTTCTTGCACCTGGTGTATTACGTGCTCAATACATTTGAGTAAGTATAAATGGGTCCTTATTATGCAAATCTCAGCAAATCTAATTTGAAAACATGCCCATAATTTCCAAGACATTCTGTATTTACCAAACACATTTAACAGAACCAATTTTTCAAACCAATAATGTAACAAAGCCTTGGTGATTGTTGGGGTGCCTGATAGTCAGTGGATAGTGACAATCTGTGAAGATGGCTTTGCCATAAAGGGACCAAAGAAATAGGAATGTAGGTGGAGAGGGAGGTCAGATCAAGGCAAGTTTTTGTTTTTAAGATGGGAGATATCACAGCAACATGATGCAGCGAATAGAAAAGAGTGACAGAGAGAGAGAGAAATGACAACTGTAGAGGCCAGTCCTTGGACAATGAAGAGGGAATGACGTCTGTGCAAGTAAGAGAGACTGGCTTTAGATAGAAGCATAAATAGTTAATTTGTCATTACAGATACTGTTAGAAAAAAGATTTGGTTTGTCCTGGGAGCAAGGGGAACTTCCCTTCTGACTACTTCTATTTTGTCAATGAAATAAGAAACAAGGACCATAAAGTGAGATCAAGACTGAGGAGGAGGTACAGGAGGTCTGAAATAGTTCCCATGGAATAGGAGAATGAAGCAACCAGGGACATATTACAGGAGCACAGGGCAGAACTAAAGACCCACTTGAGGCGGTGGTCATGAATTTCTGCCGGACAGCATGACAGTTATTTTCTCTGGTGAGGCTAGAGACCTGACATAAGCGAAGAGTTGCACAAGTTCTGTGAGAGGAAGGAGGATCAAAGGAGTTGGAAGTGTATGCAAGGGAGTGATGAGGATGATCTATCACGGAATCTGAGCAGAGTACAGAGAAAAGGGAGGACCCTAGAAGCCAAGGGACAGAGAAGTGAGGGGCCTCAGGCAGGAGACAGAAGCCTGGTGGGTTAGAGGGATTTAAAGGCAGGTGAGCCCCAAGAATGGTGCAAGGTGGGGAAGAAGAAGGGAGTGAGGTCAGGGAGGCAGTTGCAGCCACACCATGTGAGGTCCAGAAGGCTATGGTGAGAACTTGGGCTTTTTATTCCACTGGACATGCACTGGAAGATTTTAATGCACCATAAAAGCTCTCTTCTCATGTGAGTTGAGGAAGGATATGAATAACATTAAACGAATACAATACATATAGAAGAAATTTACAGTGAAGCTTGCAAGCTGTGGTAACAGTCTGATGAAGCTTCTTATAAACAGCCTAATCCCCAAAGCATTCAACAACAAGAGAAGTAGAGGTCCTATGAGAACCACTTTATCTCCCAGTAACAAGTAGCTTTTATTTCCCTTTTCCAGTGTTAAATGGGAATCACTAAAGTTGGGAAGTTAGGTGAAAAAATGAAATTCTGTCATATTATGACAGAAAAATATCTACCCAAAAGTGTGTCCATTAACACAGATGAAGACCCATTTCTAAAAATTATATTAAATTCAAACTTCCTAGTATGAAAAATTCTTCATGTAGACCTAAATCCTTCATACAATTGTTTCAAGACAGAAAGAAATGATTACTATGCTTTCCCTAAAACACAAAACACCCAAGTAATACTGTTCAGCGGGAAAAAAGTAAACAAACGACTCATTATGCTTGACAAAATATATATTAAAGTGTTACATTTCAATTCTGCAGTGAGCTTCAAGAAATATAAATGATCAAATCTGAGACAAAACAATGGGCTCTTACTAGTATGTGTAAAAGTATGATGGACAAGTGAGAGAATACTTTATTTTCAACTGACAGCAGGGAAAGATGAGGGGAAAAAACCAACCAAGATTTAAAAAAATAAAATAATGAACATTCCAATTAGCAAACAGAAAAAAAGACATGCACAAACATGTCACTGAAGAGGACATACAGATGGCAATTAAGCACATGAAAAGTTCTTAATATAAATCATTAGCTATTAGGGAAACACAAATTGAAATAACAATGAGATATCACTATACACCTATCAGAATGGCTAAATAAAATACACCAACTGTACACACACATACTCCAACAAATGAAGAACTTATGACTAAACGATTATTTTAATGTTTTATACTACAAACAAAAATAGGATTTTAACATCATTTACCTCAAGTATTTTATCTCCAGTTTTAAGAGCATTTGTTTTTCCTGCTGGACTGTCTTCTAAAACTTGTTTGATAAATATACCTTTCAGCTCCTCTCCATTCTTCAGGCGTTTTATAACGGTCTGCCCACCAACAATACTAATACCAAGAGACACATCGGGTTCTCTAAAAATCTCAACACTGTAAAAAGGAAAGAACAAAATTCACTCATGAAACAAGTTAATTTAATTTGTTGGACTGTCACTGTAAGTGTTCAATTTGTACCATATCTTTGTGACTCATATTTCATATATATATTTTCTAAATATATTTTTAGAAATGTAGAAATTATACCTCATTCCAAAATTATAAGATATAATCAATAATTCATGGCATAGCTCTGGCTAGGTAGCTCAGTTGGTTAGTGTTGTCCTGATATGCCAAGGTTGCAGGTTCAATCCTTGGTCAGGGCACAGACAAAAACCAACCAATGAATGCATCAATAAGTGGAGCAACAAATCAATATTTCTCTCTCTATCTCAAAATCAATCAATCGATCAATAATTTTTTTAAATAATAATTCATGACATATGTGAAAGTTTAAATCCTGAAAATGATAGGTATCCAAAACAAATATATCTCAGTATTGAGAGATTTAGTTAGGCCTTAATGTTCCCATCTCCTACCACAAAATGTTTTCTATGATTAGTCCTTTTCATCTACATCCATAACATTAGCAAAGAATGGATTAAGGCCCAGCGCATGTGGTTCAGTGGACTGAGCATCCTCCCATGCACCAAGAAGTCACCAGTTCAACTCCCAGTTAGGGCACATGCCCAGGGTTTCAGGCTCAATCCCCAGTAGGGGGCGTGCAGGAGGCCGCCCATCCATGTTTCTCCCACATAGATTTTTCTACCTCCTCCCTTCCTCTCTCTCTCAAAACCAATAAAAACATATTTTTAAAAAAGAGTGAATTAAGTAAATAACAAATGGTTAAAAATTCAAGAAAGTCACATATACCATTTTGGTAAAAAGCAGAAACTTTCAGAATAAAATAAATTTGCCATTGAGGGGCTTGTTGCCCAACTGCTTTTCCCAATCAGCAAGTGTAACCTGTAGTTCTTTAAGTGGGGGACAGATTTTATCTGCTCCTAAAGCAGAATGGTTTTCTTTTCTTTCTACCTCTACGTCATTTTAAAACATATGGAATAAAGCTTGTCCCTCAAGCCCCAGCCAGGTGGCTCAGTTGGTTGGTGCATCCTCCCATATGTCAAAAGGTTTTGGGTTTGATTCCCAGTCAGGGCATACATGGGAGGCAACCAATCGATGTTTCTCTCTCACATCAATGCTTCTCTCTCTCAAATCAAAAAACATATCCTTGGGTTAGGATTAAAACAAAAATAAAAACTTGCCCCTCAAAATATTATAAAGTTTGCCCCAATTGCACAGATGTGGTCAATAATTAACGTAAATAAAAAAGTAGCTCAGTCTGGCCAGTGTGGCTCAGCGGTTGAGTGTCAACCCATGCATCAAGAGGTCACCTGTTCCATTCTCAGTCAGGACACATGCCCAGGTTGTGAGCCCAATCCCCGGTGGGGGGGCGTGCAGGAGGCAGCCAATCGATGTTCTCTCTTTCACTGATGTTTCTATCTCCCTCTCATTCTCACTTCCTCTCTCTCTAAAATCAATAAAGAAAAAAAAAAAAGTAGCTCAGAAAACAATTCCTAAGAATTTTTAAGACAAAACTCAGAAGTGCAAGAAAAAACAGACAGTTTTGCTGGGCACAGTGAAATTAATAACGCATGAAGAACAGAGCAGCTAAAGGAAGATTTTGATAACCTTAATAAAGTGCAGCCCTCACAACGACATAAAATTACAAGAGTATCTAAAGAAATGGGCCCAACACATTCTGTTTGCTCATACAAGGCACCAACTCAGATAATACAAGGGTTGGAGGGGGAGATAAATTGGTATATGATATGGCCTCAACTGCTGTTGTTGATATATAAAGAAGCTTTACTGCAGTCAAGGCAGCCCTATCTGTCCTGCTTAGTGATAAACTATACTTAGACCATCAGTTACTATCATAGATGGACATCTGTACATCTATGTACTTTCTCTGAAAGAACATCATAAAGATTTTCCTAATATTGGTTATAGACATTTTGTCTGGCTAAAAATCTCTTGATAAGACAACATGAAACTAAACTTTGGGCCAGTCTACATGTGAATAGCAATTTCTCAGTCATTAGAGAATGACAATATTAAGTTAAAGAATAAAGCAGCTGATTGTATTGTCCTATTGAGAAAGTTAATGTCATCAACATACATTCTTGGTGGACCCCAGTGGCTGAAGTTTGGAGTTTCTTCTCCTTCACCTTCTTCTCTCTCAGGTAACTCACTGAGGAAGCAAAAAGGAAAAAAAACAAAACAAAACACACACACATAATTTATAAGACCTAATCTTGTTATTAAAGGTTATTAGAAATTGTTGAAATTGTACAATCTATAGGAAACAGTTCTTAATTTCCAAGCTTTTAAAATATTTACATCTATAGTCAACTGTCCATACAAAGCCAAAGATACATTGTTTTAATGTTCAACTCAACAAATCTCCACCCAGCACCAGAAAGTCATAGAATTATTACAAACACTTATTGGTGACACTCCATATGCTATTTTTTTTAAATGTGTTTGATTTGTACAACTTTACATTTGTTTCTCTTATCAATAAATAATATATTATAAAATATATTCCTTAAAACTTGATATTGACTGACCAGCCAAAGAATAATCTAACATAAACATAACATAAAAGGCTCAACAGCCAGGAAACATGATCCCTCTTTCTAGATTTTTTCTGTCACTCTAAATAATTCCCATCATTTGTATCCCATGAATATTTTGGGTAGTTATACAGCACTTTTCAGTTTTCAGAGAGATTTACTTATGTTATCTAATTCGATCCTCCCACCTACCACCACCATACTTTTGCCAAAGTTATGTTAGTATGGAACATCTTAGATAAGAAAATGAATCAGAAAGGAACTATATAAGTAGTGCTATATAATAGGGTAGAGACTTTACCATACATTGTCTGGAAGAGGAGTCAGGAACGCTAAGCTCTAGTCTAACCTGTGCCATGAAATAGGTGTGCGACTTTGGACCACCAAATGAAATAACATGTCTGATACCATAAATTATACTACTCTCTATAAAAATGTAGGCACTACCGCTTTCATTTCATTTCACAAAAACCCCATGACGTAGGCACAGTAGGTCATATTATTTTATTTTCCACATGAGGATCTGAGGCTCAGAGAAGGCTCAGGCATTCTACACAACCTCTTCACCGTATTGAAATCTTTTTTTCCACACTAAGTTTCAATGCTCCATTATTCTCTGAACTCTCAACTAACTCCTGCAAAAAGTAGCAAAACTCTACCTACCTGCCACTCTACAGCCTTTGTAGGACATAATGGTTTAAGGCTGAGTGTAAAGGAGAAAGCTGAAAGGATCCAGACGTTCCAAAAATCAGTTAAGAAATTGGGATCATTAGGAATCATCAACATCTCATCCACTACCAGATGGCCTTCTTGCCTTTGCCAATCTATTTTTCATGATTAAAAGCATCATAGCATTCGGGGAAAAACAGCTTGGCAGATATTTGCTGGTTACTTATCTAATGCCCTCTCTCCCATGCTCCCTTACCAACAGAACTCCTGTTACTCCGGGTGGCACCATGCCCAGCTCTAAAAAAATACATTTGTAGACTTCCTTTCAGTTGATGGCCACTGTGTGCCATAGTTCTGATTAGTGATATATAAGCAAAAGTCCCTGGATAAGATTTCCAGGGAAACTCATTAAAATGGAGGGAGAATCAGCTGGCAGGAGCCTTTAGCTCTGCACCCTGTCCCTTCTCCTTGCCTAGAGGGCAGAGATATTGGTGGTGAAGCATCCTTCTTAAATGCACGAAGAAACAATGAGAAGCCCTCCATTAAGAACAACAGAGAAGAAAGGAAGAGTGTGTTTAGGGCCCCGACAGACCACTTTCTCCAGGACTTTTTACATGAAAAAAAATGAAGGCCCTGTTTGGTTAAGCCAATGCTAAGTAGGGAGTTTCTATTTATAAGCCTCTGAATGCAATCCCTAAATTACACTCCCATGATCCCACCAATTTAAGTGTTCACTTTGTCATATCCTATTATTATTTATTGGATAGTTGTAATCACATAAACTTTCATAGTTTGATTATCCTATGTAATCGGATTAAACAAAAGAAAACTGGCATTGCCTGAAGCTCAACCAATATTCATTTCCTTTCTAATTTTTTCAATTTTGTATCAAAATTTCCCCCACATATCACCATAATCTTCATAATTTTTTATTTACTAGCATCTTAATAGTCCATGGTACTGGTGTAATTTAATTTACCTACTAGATTATATCCTGTTATTTGGAATATGGACTTCATTGCTAGGAATGCCTCATGCTTTGCTGCAATACCTCGCCCTGTGCCTCTTTTCCATTTGGCCTTTCCTGAGTCGTAGCCTCTATAATACACCAGTGATAGTAAGTAAAGTGCTTTCTTGAGTTCTGGGAGCCAACCTCACAAACCCGAGGGCCGGGTCCTGGAAACGCCCAATTTAAAGCTGGTTGGTCAGAAGTACAGTTGGCAAATGGTGCCCGAAGTCGGAGCAGTCTTGTCATGTTGAACTTTTATGCTGTGGGGTCAACACTAACTCCAAGTAGCTAGTGTCAGAGAGAACTGGTTGTTGTGTGAAGGAAAAAACTCACACATTTGGTGTTAGAAGTATTGTGAGCAAAATCAGCTCATGATAGGCATTAAGAAAAAACCCACAGTCCGGCTGGTGTGGCTCAGCGGTTGAGCCTTGACCCATGCACCAAGAGGTCACCGGTTCGATTCCTGGTCAGGGCACATGCCCGGGTTGTGGGCCGGATCCCCGTCGGGGGGCATGCAGGAGGCAGCCAATCGATGTTTTCTCTCACCAATGTTTCTTTCTATCTCTCTCTCCCTCTCCCTTCCTCTTTCTCTAAAATCAACAAAGAAAAAAAAATTTTTTTTAAAGAAAGAAAAAACCCACATATAGATCTTTCTTATCATACAAATATATTATATTTATTTAGAAATTAAATTTTTCAATTAAGAAAAAATTAAAATAGAATGAAAACCAAGCTTTAATATTAGTATAAACTATTCATTTTTTCTATTTAAAACAAATAAAAATATCTTAAACTACTAGCTTTCACAAATTAAGAGGAGAGGTTGATGGGGGGAAGACACTATCTAGAATATAGAAAATTTTAGATAAAATGTGTAACAAAAAGATTATTTTGTTGGGAGAGACTCACTGATTTTTTTTTCAAAGCATATTATCTCTCTTCAGGAAGTTAGTATGCACACACTTTAATTGGATTATTTTATAGATACAGAGAGAGAAAACTTGTAAAATTTTACCCAGATAGTGTGATTAGTTTTGGAAATACTGTCATAGGAGATGAGAAACTATACAAACTGATGTAGTCACTTTACATTGATGAAAGCATATACCTTTTAACCCCAAATAAAATTTAACTGAGAAAGTAAAATACTTTATTGCACTTATTAAGATTTAAATTTTCACAAACGTATTTAAAACTTTAACGAGGGATTTCTAACCTTGAATTTTATAATTTGCACTGTAATTGAACATGGTCAATAGCTTAATTAGTTCAAGTTTCAAATGTTAAAATAACTGAAAGTTACCTCTTACATTTAACCGGTTTTTCCTTAAGGGAATTAACCATCCAATAAAAACAGTGCTTTTTATTTCAGACTTTTATACAAATGCCCAAAGTTATCATTCTTTACAGATTTGGGAGGGAAGATGGAGTGGCTCATTAGTGAACAGGTGGGTATTAATAGTAAGACTTGATCATGATATACAATTCCTTTGCAAATAAAATCTTCAACATCTTACAGAAGTCAGATGGGATCCAGATAGCCAAGGTGACCTTTCCTTTCCAATATATCTCTCTTCTTTTTTTCACATAAAAATTCTACATACTAAGCCATATGAGGGTCAAGTAAACTCAACACCTTGAAAGGATGTGAGCAGGAAGAGTTCTGGCTGTGACCAAGCTATCTCAAGGCATCTTTTGCCTCTTTAAATATAGATTTTCTACAGCAATTCACTGTGACACACCATAGGGAATATTGAGCACTTGGAACCAGGGAGAATGGGGACGAGTGTTTTCCAGACCAGTGAGTCTACTGACACAGTTGTCACACTGATTTTGACAGTGCAAAGCAAATTATTATTTGACACAGATATACATAAAGAATTAGGCATTTCTCACATTAAAGTTTAGAACGATACAGACATGGTGCTGAGTGAAAACAAGCCAAACAAAAAGTCCTCCTGGATGATTATACATACATACGTTCCAGAACAGGGAAAACAATTTACAGTGTAAGAAGTCACATTAGCATTGCCTGGGGCAAAACACTGCCAAGGGGCAGCAGGGAGCTTCTTGGGGTGATGGAAATAAATGTTCGATATCGTGACTGGAGTGCTGGTAGTATGAATCTACACATTGATCAAAATTAAGGAAATGGTCCCTTAAAAATCTGGGCATTTCATTAATATGCAAAATTGTATTCAAGAGTTTTGTTAAGAAATGAAAGCTCAGGCCAAAGAGGGTAACTTGCTTCCTTGGGTCAACTCTACGTTTCTTCTGGCCTTATGTAGAGCCTGGATTAGTAATAAAAGACCTAATTATAGTCTCAAAGACATAGTGTAATATTCCTATGTACCTCCCATCGTAAGTTTTCACATTTGTCTTCACCTGCAGTGTGGACAACAGCTGCGACAGAATCATCCTGGAAATCTCCCCTCTGCTCCCAACTCAAACATTTCAGGGCAGTCCTCTCTCAAATGCACACATTTCTTTTTTTTATCCTCACCCGAGGACATTTTTCCATCTTTTGTACAGATAGAGTGGGAGGGAGAGAGAGGAAAAGAGAGAGAGGGAAACATCGATGTGAAAGGGACACATCGAGTAGCTGCCACCCGCACGACCAACCAGGGTCGGGGACAAACTGCAACCGAGGTACGTGCCCTTAGCGGGAACCGAACCCGGGTCTCTCTGGACCACAGGCGGACGCTCCAACCGCTGAGCCAAACCGGCCAGGGCTCAAATGCACACATTTCTTTTCTCCCTCTTCCTCAGCCTCCTAACAATGTTCTGAATTTACACATAATTTTTGACAGTGTATCTCAAAGGTAAACCTATTAAAGATCCACCATTTACTTAAGGCACTAAATGCCAGTCACTGTACTGGGGGCTCAAAATATAACAGCACGTTTCCCCCACTATGACACCCTGCTTCCGGTTCTACCTTCCCTACTCAGAACAAAGCATGTAACGTGTGAGAGTATTTCTTTTCCTTTGTATCCTGTTATACAAACAACATGATTTCTTGTCAACTGTAAATATGCCTTTCATCTCAAACTCCTCCTCCTCCTGAGGCTTTAGCCTCTGACACCTTGTTTTACTTACTGTGCGTTGATCCTATTTTATTCTACAACAAACAGACAAATAAACAAACACCCTACAATCTCCTTGAGTGTTTAAAAAAACACTTCAGCAACAATGAATACTACCCTAGAGAAACCTGGGGGACTATGAGTCCATCATTGTCATGTAGCATCACTGCCGACCTTTCATTACACATTTACCCTGCTCAAGGCATTATACAGAGCCCTTTATCTTCAGTTCTATTTAATCTGTAGAACTACCTCCTTTATAAGTGAGGAAATACAGACACAAGGGAAACCTTCTCAGGGTCATGTAGCTATAAGTAACAGAGGAAAATCTGAACAGCACCCACAATGTCTGCTATTAGTCTGAGAAATGCACATGTGCCCCTCTGCAGGCACCCAGATGTCTTCAGGCAGCAGGTGATGACAAAGATGAGTGAGAAAAAGACTGAAGCCAGGTGAGTTCTGAAGACATGATCTCAAGTGACCTTATGAAGAAAGAAGGATACTTGGAACAAAATCACCCAGATTCTTTCCAGTTATCGTACCTCACCTGCCCACAGTTCTAGTAGAGAGCCCCACTTTGAAGGTGAGCCTGACCTCTTAGTACTTGTCCTGCCTCCAAACATGAGAAGTTGGCTTGATGCAAAAATACAGTGCATATTAAATAACTCTGTAGGGTCCTACACAAAAATTAATGCAAAGAAAAACTCTAAAATATTATTTAGTACTTCATGGCACCCTGATAATCTAAAAGACTGTCTTCCAAAAGAAGATGTGCATTACTCAGGAAGGCTCCTGAGTGGCAATAAATATTCACCAAGGAACTTAACTCCATGGGGCATTCTCTAAAAGATTAAAAGGGGGAATATGATTTATAGAACTCTTCTGGAACCTGCTGAGATTTAAATATATCCTGGATCTCTGAGAGCAAGCCAAAAATACAACTTTCAAGACTGATCTCCCAAGACAAAGTTAGGTTGGAGCCCTTACACCTGTGCCTGCGTAGGAACTTGGCTTGTCGAAGCACTCATTTCAGGAGAAAAAGCAATGGGATAGGAGGAAGCCTATCTTCCCTCTCAGAAGCTGAGTGTTACGGCTGACGCTTCATTTGTCTTCTGCGTGGGGAAGAAGGGGTGGGCTTGGAAGTTTGTTTATACCTTTTCCAATTCTACAGTCAACAGTTCTATCTATAGCTTTAGAGAAACAGCCCCATTTCTAAATTCTCCAACCAGATTCAATGATTAACACTAAGCACAAGGGAAATGTAAAAGATAAAAATGTCTCATTTAAAAAAGTAATTTGACCACATAAATGTCATAACATGTCTTCCTAACCCTTCCAGCACTGCCACTCCCGCATCTCCCCTAAAGAAACACATGCATTGCTTGTTAAACACTGAACTCCTCCGGGAGCTGGTGAGGACACCAGCACACGGCCTGTCAGCACCTCCCCCCTGCACACTGGTCCAGTTCTGCTGCGTGAAAAGGCACCAGATTCTCCAAGTAGCTGGGCCTATCTGTGTCTTTCCTTTCCACTCAGAGATGAGCCATGAAGCACAAAAAACACATTTCATGGAGTTTCTATCTAAAACTCGAGGTGAAGGTCACAGGTTGCTGAACAGAGAAGGCAATATCATTGCAGTGACAGATGATATAAAATCATTCTTGGACTAAGGTTTTCATAAAAACATTAGGGCCAATTACTCCCACCCTATCACTCACCCTCGTTTCTCTTTGCCAATACCTCAAACTCCTTTGTTCGCTTTTCTCCTGGACTCACGGTGCTAGGTTGCTCTGGTTCTCATTCCCCTCCCCGACACCTGCCCAGCCAAACACCCATCACTCTGTGAATCTCCTTGAATGGTAAAGGAACTTCTCCATGCCCCAACTTTGTCACTGAATGTTCTCTGTTCTCTCAGCAGCTGCTGGTTCTCTGCCATGATACCACACTCAAGTGGGTAATGCTCCTTCTCTTGTCCTCTGGGAAGCTGGAGAGAGATATTTCTAGACTCCCTTCCACCACTGAGCCATGACTCCCCTTCCCTTGTTTCAAAAGTTAATCTCACTCTGACATCTCTCCTTTTAATGCCCAGTCTACTGCAACCCAACAGTGTTAGTAAATAGCTGTTCCCCTAAACAACAGAGAAAGATTGAAGGTACTGGGCCAGCACTGCTTTGGAGTCCTGCCCCCCAAGGAACAAACAGTACCTGCACTTGTACTCTCCTTTCGTTCCTGGCATCTGTCTCTGTGGGAGGTGAACTTCCTCATATCAAACTAGCAAAGGTTAATCTCCAGGTATGCCATGTCCTCTCCCTCTACCCTCTATAAGAACTATGTTTAATCACCCCTTTCCTAGAATCCACATATTCCTTTTCTGAATCTTTCCCAGAAAGACACAAACACACACATTACCTGTCTATCATCCAATCTACCTACCTACCTACCTACCTATCTGTATCATGCATTCTATCTGCCTCTTTTCATGATCAGGATTCTCAAAACACTGATCTGTTCTTACTATGTCCAATTTCATACCTTTTGTTCAATTCTCAACCCACTCCCACTCTAATAAACCTGTTCTGTGCTTACCAAGGGCCATATGGCCAAGCTCCATGACAACATTTCCATCTTATTAACTTTGACCTCCTTGTAGCATGTGACCACGGTCTATGATGATTCTTTTGTTAAAATGCTCTCTTCCCTTGTTTTCTATGTCAACTTTTAGTTCATCAATTTCCTTCTACCTTTTGTTCATTCCACTTTACTATTTTCTTCCTCCATTCATAGCTTTAATTGCTGCTTTGCAGGACTGCATTTTGACCTATGCTCTTCTTATTACTTGAGCTTCCCTTGAATAACTATTCAAATCTAGGAGTTTCACCGGTGCTTGCTTGATCTTGTCCCCAGTTCTCTATGTCAGGAGAGACCTCAAAATTAATCCTGAGAATCATGGATCTAATAGACTCTACTTGGCTTTGTTGTCCTAAGAATACCTAAACCCTCAAAATGTCTCAAACTGAATCCATTATTTTCTCTTCCAACCTGTGTATGCTCCTATAATCTCATGTCAAAAAATTAATGGTCCCACTATCCATTTGGTTTCCCATTCTAGAAACACAAGTCATCCTCAAATATTCCTTCTCACTTCCAACATGTTATCAGTCACTAATTCCTATAGTTTCTCTTTTAAATCCATACCCTCATCTGTCCGAGTACCTCTTGCTTGAATTGTTGAAATAAACTCTTAACCTACAATTTTCTAAGCAAATACTCTATGTAACCCATCTTGTATACAACTGCAAGAATACAAAATTGTATATATGGTACAATTTTACATATGTGAAATTCTTATACTATTTGTCTAATACAGTGGATTTTATTCATAATATTTTTCTGTATTTTCCAAATGTGTCACCATAATCCTGCCTGGTTTTGTTTTTGATTTTTTAGTAGAAGCAAAAAGAAAACTATTTTATAATGTAAAAGCAAAAACAAAATGAAATCATACTATGCATCAGTGGCGTATCTAGAAGACAATATTCCTGTGTATGCTGAGGTCTTGGAAACAACGCGAGTCCTGGGGAGTTGGTACAGGGGCAGATCTTTTTGCTGCCTTCTTTGAGCCACAGCAGGAAGTTCAACAAGCAAGCCAGGACGCTGGACATCATGCGGAATCATCATGCCTAAAGAGTAAACCGAAAAGATAGTGAACACAAAATGCTTTCATTTATCCTTCATTCGCTCAGCAAATAGTTATGAGCATCTACTATGGGCAAGTCCCTTCCAGGTAGAAGACTTATTTATATTAAACTAAATAAGTAAAATATTTAATATGGCAGATGATGACAAGTACTACGGTGAAAAATGAAGCCAGGACTCTGGCTGGTGTGGCTGTTGGTTGGAGCATCGTCCTGTACACTGAAGGGTGGTGGGTTCGATCCCAAGTTGGGGCACGTACGGGAGGCAACAGATAGATGATTCTCTTGCATGGATGTTTGTCTGTCTGTTTCTCTCCCTAAAATGAATGGAAAACATATCCTTTGGGTAAGGATTAAAAAATAATAATAGATAAAATAGTGTCTGGCAAAAAAATATAAAGAAGCAAGGAAGGGGGACAGGATTGCTTAGTAGAAGAAAATTACTGAGAAGATGATGACATTTTAGCAATATAAACAGTTTATCAAAAGAATCCCCTTTATGATGGTATTTTTATTAACCTAGGCGATCTCAATTACAGGCACTCCAACATTTCACTGATTAAAAAAAATAATAATTCCACAGAACAACAAATAACCACACAAAAACACATTTTTAAAAGGGCTTTGTTTATAAATTTCATAACTCTTTTACATTTGCTACCATATTAATTCTCACATTGAACTATGATTGAGAGAGAAAAGATACTAGCAAATGTATTTGATAGAAGAGGGAGATAGTCTAAAGAACAGCGTAAGGAATTTTGCCAATTAGAATGTGCAAATTTATCTGACAAACCATCTCTGTCACTTTTCCACTTACTGGAAAAAAGAATAACTTTGGCAGGACTGTGCACAGAGACCTATGGCACTTGCGCAGACCTACACCTTGCGGGCACAAATCTGTTACCTCTCAGGATACACCCCAGCATCCATTCCATCCAATCCACTATAAATTCCCAGCCAATCTCTTTATCATGCTATACAAATATGATGAATTGTGCATCAAATGCCTCCCTTAAGTCCATACATTTATAGTATATTTTGGAGAAAATGAGAAATTATTTCCAAGAAATAAATACTCTTCTAAAATTTTTCCTGTAACTATCAACTAAACTCTCCAGTTTCATACTGAACAAATTTTCTAGTAAACTCACTATGACTTCTGCTTTTTATCTTGTCTAGAAACTTTGGAATCAGGATTTAACCAGTTGGTAATGCAACAGAGAATCTGTCAAGGGGGTGAAAATACCTGCAATGCTTGGGTGGCATGAAAGGAAGTCTTGGTTGCCTTTCCACCACCCCATGCATCCCCATCCCATCCACTGGGCCCACGTTCCTGCCAAGCAGCCATATCTGTATCACTGCCCACTGTCCCAGCCCTGCTTGTGTCCTCCTCCTCTTCACCAAGGAGGGACTAGAGGTGGCGAGATCATGATTCTGGGAGGAATGGCCTAAAACCAGTCTTGTGAACAAAAACCAACTCTATCTGCAGAGCTCTTTCCCACCCAGCTCAGCTGGTAACCGCAGCCTGTTAAATTGCAGCACTGCGTTTCCTAGGTTGCTGCAGTTGTTTAAAATGTTGCATTAGCTGCTCCACACAAAGACTGCCCCTGCCCTTTGCCGACTCCCTCCGTGGACCCTTGGCAGCGCTCAGGCACACGTTTTCATCTCGCCCAGTGCTTCACACGGTGTCACTTTACAGAGCTGTTCACCAAGTGCACCCCAGTACCCAGGAGCCCATAAAACAAATCAAGTCCTTTAGGGCCTGTGCAGTTGTTAGGTAATGGCCACACCGGGAGCACAAAGGTTAGAAAAACAGAGAACTTAAAAATATATATTCTGAGTAAATGGAAGTTAATGCTTACAGGAGAGGAGCGGGATAAATTTTCAAAAGGCTTATACTTGGTAGGGTACACGGACACAATGGTCAACAAAATAAAGGCACTAAGCATCCACATAGAGAAGAAATTAGGTCCTGTAAAACTTAGCAACTGGAGAAAGAGCAGGGGGCGTTGATACGTGGTTAAATAACCACAATAAGCTGCATGTCACTTTCTCATCTGACAACTATTTCTTCAGCATCTACTTGGTAACACAGTCAGAGATCAGCCTCCCTCCAGAAGCTTAGTCTATAGAACGAGAATGGCATGTACATGGGTATGCACGCCTGACTCGGGTGCAGTGACAGACATGCGTCCAGGGTTCACTGGAGGCACAAGTAGAGGCCGTCAAAGATTGGGAAAAAGAGCCACTTTCTCTCTGAAATCTTATATTACTGATTTAAAGTTTATCTTGTATGCTTTACAGCATTGATTATACTAATTTGTAGGTTTAGTTTCATAGCTCATGAATAAAGACCCTTGGAGGATACATAATTTTGGATAAAGTATAGGGTCAAGAATAGCCCTCTACACATAGGTTCTCCAGAAATAACTTTTAATTAATTGTTCATAGATAAATCTAAAATTTTCTGTTACTAATCAAGTGGTCAAAGAGCTAGAGATTTGAAAGAGGGTTTAGAGAGCACTTAGCTAAAATCCGTCATTTTACAGTTGGGGAAATGGAGAGGCTTGGAGGAGCCTGAAGGCCTACCTGGCAATTCAGCAGGTTAACTGCTTAGTACTAAGTGTCCTGGGACTGAAAAAGGCTGCCATATGCTGGGCAGGGCTCTCGAGAGCAAAATGAAATTTTGAGTTGAATTAACTCAATATGTATGCTGCTGAAATCTGTACTGACTCAGCATCGGTAATTTCTCAGCCCACCCATGCTTAGCACTACTCCAAACACCCCTGCCATGTAGCATTCTGGAGGCTCTCAAAACTGTTTTCTAAAAGCATGTGGTTGTGAATGCTTTTCTAGTGAGGACAGGTCTAAGAAGTCTTCATTCCTAAAGCTATAATCTCTGAGAATAAATTATTTCCAGGGCCTTGCAAAGTACTAGAATAAGGCAGTGGAGTGGGTTAAATGGTGGACCCCCTAAAAGATATATCCATGCCCCAGGAGCTATGAATGTGACTTTATTTGAGGGGAAAAAGTCTTTGCAGATATAATTAAGTATCTTAAGAGGAGACCACCCTGATTACCTAAGTGGGACCTAAATCCAGTGACACATGTCCTTATCAGAGACAGAAGAAGAGAAGGCCACGTGAAGACGAAGGCAGATGACGGAGTGATGCAGCTACAAGCCACGGAATGCTGGGGACACTGAAACTGGAAGAGGCAAAGAACAGAGTCTCCCCTAGAGCCTTCCGAGGGAGCACAGCATCTTGATTTAGGACTGCTGGCCTCCAGAACACAGGGAGAATGCATTTCTATTTGTTTAAGCCACTAAGTTTGTGACAATTTGTCACAACAGCCCTAGGAAACTCATACAGGCAGCAGAATGCAGTTGCACTTTGCTGTCACCTAGATAATCACCTAGATGATACATAAAGCAGGGCTCATAGGGGGACTGGGCCATCCCATGAAGAGAATATCTCTTTCCTATACTCTTCCTAACTCCACAGCCCCTTCCCACAAATACGCACTGAATTTTTCTTGTCTGTTCCTTTCAATCCTGATGGTAGAAAGTATAAACAGGTCCAAACCAGGGTAGTTTTGCCTCCCAAGGGACACTGGGCATGTCTAGAGACATTTGATTTTGATCATGACTGGGGTGGGAGAACCACTAGCAACTAGGGTTAGAAGGCAAGAAAGCTGCTAAACATCCTGACGCACAGTTCAACCTCCAACAAGTTATCTGGGCCACAGCAGTGCTGAGATTGCTATAAAGTGTCAGTGGTAATCACACATATATGTTCTATTAATTCATTTATTTATTCATTGGTGCTATGAACCTTCTCCAAGTATTTAATAATCAGAGGACTACAGAAATGTGGTGAATAAAACAACAACAACAAAACAGTATCCTTGGAGAGTTTTGGTGAAAAAAATCCCATATTTTTCCTAGTCATGACCAGTTCTATGTCATAAAAAACTGGAGAGACTCATCTAATCTTAGATATTCAAAATTAACTCTGTTGTTCCACAGGGGATGAATAACTGTTATTATCTCATAGATGCCTTCAATCTTTACCATTAAGAATTTCATTCTTTCTCTCTTTTTGTCTCTCTCTCACACACACACACAAATTCCATTCTTTGGATTTTACTTAACAGACTACTAAATGCACATAAAACTTACATAATTTTCTGTAGTTCTTTCTCTCCCCTTACAACACATTACCACACAACACAAGACTTTCCCACAGAGAAAGGCTTTTCCTATAAGTAGATCATAGCAGGTGAAGGACAATAGCTCTATAAATCCCAGTGCCATGAAAGAATTTCACAGTTTCACCTTAAGAGATCTTAATATTATAACATTTGATTCTTCAGTGTTGGATAGAAAAAATTATTTGTTAAAGTCAAGTTTTCAAAGTTATGTAAGAATCAATATTGGGGGAGGCAGGGAGAGGCATGATACTTTCAGGATTCTTTAATGGAAACTAAGTTATTAATGCACCAAAATTGACTGTAATATATGGCTATAAAAATGTTTCATAAATGTTTAAAATATGCCTCTTTATTAATATTTAACAACCCCATTCAGTGAGCTAACAGTATCACTTAATAGCATCAAAGATTTTAATATATATTAGTAAAGACTTATTTTAGATTCAGCCTAAGGTACTAGCTTTAGTTTTAATCTATACTGATAATAAAAAGCAAATGGAGACAGAGAAAATGCAGCCTTCTCAGAAAACAGAATCTCAAAATTCTAATTTGAAATATAAACCAGTGTTACTCTTCCAAATATTTTGAAGCAGATTAATTAATAAGCAGATTTAAATTTGAAACATCATGATGAATGAAATGTGACCATAAAATTTATCACACACAAAAATAAAACGGAAAGATTACAGTAAATGTAATTTGTGTTGATGAGAAACAAAAACCACAAACCTAACTCCAGACTGCTTTTTGTTAATGAACTAAGATTTTCCAGATCATCGAATCTGCATTGCTGACTGTTCCCTTCAGTTGAGGATATGGAGGGTTGGGAATCGATGCCAAAATTTTCTTTCATCTTGAAAGGAAGAAAAACAGAAATGCATTAGTACTTTATGATAAAATGTGGAACGCTATAATGTTGTTTAAACAGACAATAATGATAGTGGAAAACTGGCCCTGAGAACAGGCCTTCTCAAGTAACGGTTTACACTGTAGTAAGCAGTAACGAACGTTGGTAACTTAATATTTGCAAGAGTACAGGCTAGTAGAACCTGTTTTTTCCAAACACTGGATTTTCTTTAACAACAAGTTTGTTTGTCTGACTATTAACAAATGGATTTAAATAAGCATTCACCAAGGTAGAGGAATAAAAGATCTGTCGAGTCAAGCAAGATCAATAGTTGACACTCTACCTCCTGATCATGCTGGATTACCACTTAAATAGCTAATCCCAAAACACCTGGTGAATTTTCATAGCTCTAAGCCTTTGCTACACTCTCTCCAGCACTTTTATCTGTATGGTGAACACTCAGTTTCCAAAACCTAAGACCAAAGATAAGCACAGTCAAAAACTTATCACGCTTTCGTCTTTGTCCTTCTTTGACACGTCTTCTATGGCTTTCCAAAGTTACTCTTCCAGAACATACAATGTTTACTGAAGTATTTGATTATAATATTTTGAAAAAAATTTTTACAAGCATAAAATTAAATGAGGACAGCCCTGGTTGGTTTGGCTCAGCGGTTAGAGCGTTGGCCTGCAGTCGAGAGAGACCCGGGTTCGGTTCCCGCTAGGGGCATGTACCTCGGTTGCCATTTGTCCCCGGCCCTGGTTGGGTTGTGTGGGTGGTGGCCACTTGTTGTGTCCCTTTCACATCAATGTTTTTTCTCTCTCTCCCTCTTCCTTTTTCTCACTTCTACCCTGTCTGAACAAAATATTGAAAAATGTCCTCAGGTGAAGATAAAAAATAAAAATAAATTAATTAATTAATTAAATGAGGACATTATGGCACCACTAGATGATTCTTTCACTTATTCTCATATCAAGGTGTGAGTCACACAACCCAAACATCCTCTGGGGTTCCATGAAGACATCTAGTGCAGTGCCTTGCCTAGTGGAAGGATCGGCAAGCATTGGCAGAAGGGAAAAGGGGAGGAAGTCCTAAGGGACGCAAAGAAGCCAGATCTGCCCTGAGAGACAGCAATGAAAACACACTGCACATCATACACCACACATCACTGCAGGAACGTTGTCAACCTCAGTGAGGGAGCACCTGCGGCACCTGAACATACTGCTGTATATCCCTGTACAATAAGTTTCTTTCCATTTGCCTGGAATTTAATGGGGGGCAGGAAATAAACAAACAAAAACAAAACATAAAAAAATCCCTAATAAATGATTCCAATTGGTAACCAGTTAACTCTAATTTTATAAAAAATAAAATTTATTGGAGATTTAATAGCAAGAGCAAGCCTGTTAAAGTATAATGCTTTCCTGCCAAGTTGTAAATAGCCAGTATCACACATGTAAAGATAATTTTCTAGAGCTCAGTGACTTTCTATTTACTATCGTATATAATACAGAGAACACTGTATTTAAGCAAGATATAAACAACAATATATCTTTAATCAATTTGTCTTAATTTTCCTTGACAAATACACTACAAGATAAATACAGAGCTGTATCTCCCTGAGGGGATTTTTAAAAAGTCACAAATGGCAAGAGAACTCTTCCTTGAAATGGCTAATTAGGAGAAAAACATCACTAAAAAGGCAAAGCAAAAAAATAAAAATAAAAAATACAAACACCATAAAGCAAGGCAACTGGAGTTTATTGTCTACAACTAAAAGTTGTGTAACAGAAAAGATGAGCTTTTACTTACAGCAACACATGCTATAGTCCACCTTGAAAAAATTAATTAATTATGAAACAGTCCATTAAATTTTGTTTTCTGGAAAATGCATGATGTTAGGACTAGAATGGGGGGGGGGGGGAGACAGGGAAGGTGTGGAAGATCTAGGCGGAAACATCCCTTACCACGTTGTTAGTGCTATAGCCATACTGCTGTGTCTCCTGGGGATATATACTCATTATGGATCTTGTTTCTTGAGGCTCATGTGGTTCGTTATCATGTAACCACTGTGTACCAAAGTGAAGTTCCTCCGTGGATGGAACAGGAGCAGCCTCTTGAATGTGTGAGGAGGGATACAACTCCATGGATTGAAAGCAATCTTTATATAGCTCATATTCTTCATCCACAAGCATTTCTCTTTCTTCACCCATTTTCTGCAATCCAGGAGTCAGAAATTCATGCATTTCCCAGGCCTCCTTGCTGTTGTCTATCTCTTTTTGTTGGGATTGGAAAGACTTTCCCAAATTTAGAAATGGCTCGTCCACAAGTTCTTCTTTATAATAGGGTTCATCTCTAAATCCCTGTTTAACAAAGTTGCAAAAATTTTTAAACTACATTTGTCTTAAAGCTGGAAAAGTAACCCCTGCTGCAGTTGCAATGACTCTGTTACATGCCAACGCATGGTTAATGTGAACAGCTCCGCATTACAAACCAGGAGAAATACAAGCTCACTACCACACAACCCTCAACCCAGGAAAGGGACAAACAATAAAATCAGAGGCAGAAATCTGCCCTTGGCAAGGTGAATGGCTATTCTAAAAGGCTTGTTACACATTAACCACCTGAAATTTCACAGTCAGAAACAGGAATTTTGTTAAAGTATTACACTGAAGACTTCATTCATGGTCTCATATAAAAAGTAGTACATAAATACAGATACACTTCATACTATTACTTACTAAAGCAAAAACTTTAAAAAGTCAGGATTTTCAAGCCTTTGTAGCAAAAGAAATTATGGTTACTTGGAAAAAAAGTTCTATATAAACTAAAGATATGAGGAGTATGTCTCAACTACTTTGAGTATGATTCTTTGATAACATACCATAAATAGAAATCAATTTTTTTTTCATCTGCATTGAAAATATATGACAAAAAGGAATCAATACAGTATGCTTTTAAATTAATTTACATTTCACTAATCAGAAGAACAAGTCCATACCACCGAAGTTAGAGTCACAGATGTGCAGGAACATTGTGGAGTTCCTAAGTAATGCTGTGAGTCTGCTGAGCCTTTGGTCTGACTCTTAGGGATGTCAAGGGTGCTGACCCCAATGAGGTAGCTGCCATTTTAAGTCCTATTTATTAAGTATTACTAAGTGTAAATTCCTGAAATGAATCTACCCTTCCTCACTTACAGCTAAACATCATTGTGGTGAAACTTTTAAATGAATACAGTATACTAAATACTGAAACCTAGTTGTTTTTTTAAAGCTGTGTTTAGAGAGTATATTTAAACATGTCATATGGTTACAAAATGTTAACAAAAAAAGTCTACACTAAAAAAACCTAAGGGACTATATATATCAGCTTGAGACACTGTCAACAAATTATGTAAAGAATATCAAGAGACAACTGTTATCAAGTGGAGCAAAACCATACCATAAAGCAAAGAGTAAACTAAGCACAGTTCATTTTAAAAAGAAAAAAGAAAAAGGTTTAAAATAAACTTTCTAAAATTGAAGCAAAAATTAGGGTTGAACCAAACTTCAGAAAGTATTCAATAAGAAGTTCTTTTGGATAGCTGTTTTCTACATTTAAAAAACAGGTCTATTTTCTTTTTTACTGTTCTTTTTTTTTAGAGAGAGAGAGAGGAAGGGAGAGAGAAATAGAAACATCGATACATCAATATAAGAGAAAAACATGGATCAGCTGCCTCCTGCACGCCCACTACTGGTGATTGAGCCCAGTACCCTGACCAGGAATGGAACCAGGACCTCTCAGTCCATGGTATGACACTCAATTCACTGAGCTACACTGGCCAGGCAACAGGTCTATTTTCAAATTTATGTTCTACCCTCAAAATTTTAAGAATGTATTAGTATAAAAGAAAGTATGATTGTTCTTTGAAAATGTCTGACACTGCCTATGTCATTTATGAAAGCAATGTGATACAAAAGGAAAAATATTTAGTTTAAAAAATAATAATAAAGATAGAGAGGGGATGATTTACATTGTATCTATCTAGCTAAGGGAGTGGAAACAAGCTTTGTGTTCTTTATAAAAATGTTAGCTCCCACACAGCAAACCACTCAAATGGGAAATAAAGTTACTAAATACCTGGGGTGCTTCAAGTATTAAAGATGAGTTTATATCGTGAATTGTTCCTGAAATGTCAGTCTTGTCTTCATTAGTGTTTGAATGTAAAATATAATGACTTTCTTCCTGTTTATCATCTTCCTGAAAATAGAAGTATTTTAATTTTATTTTTTACTTTTTTGCACAACTGAAGAAATGTTTCTGTCAACCGTGAAGCTATTTTTTGTACTGTAATATAATTAGCATATAACATTATATTAGATTTAGGCATATAAATAATGACTTGATATATGTATATATTGCGAAACAATTGCCACAATACACTTAGTTAACAAGTGCAACTTTCAAATATATAATACAGTATTGTTAACTATAGTCACCATACCTTACATTACATTCTCGGGTCTTATTTGTCTTATAACTGAAAATAAGCTTCAGTCATTCCCTCACTCCCACCCCTCTGGCAACCACAGAAACACGTTGGTAGTCAAGACAATACCTCAGTTTCAAACTCTCTTCAGATTAATTCTTAGTTTTCCATTAAGTGAAAGTACACAATAAAATTTATGCACCTTGTTTTATTAGAACAAGCTTTTCTTTCTTTTTTTTTTTTTTATCCTCACCCGAGGACACTTTTTCATTCTTTGTTCAGATAGAGCAGGAGGGAGAGAGAGAGAGAGAAACATCGATGTGAAAGGGACACATCGAGTGGCTGCCACCCACACGACCAACCAGGGCCGGGGACAAACTGCAACCGAGGTACATGCCCTTAGCGGGAACCGAACCCGGGTCTCTCCGGACCGCAGGCCGACGCTTTAACCGCTGAGCCAAACCGGCCAGGGCAGAACAAGCTTTTCTTTAACAATTAAAAAGAAAGCCATATCCAGGTCACAGTTTCTCAAAAGTTTTATTTTTAAATATTACTTAAAGAAAAAAAAATTACACCCTGGCCAGTTTGGCTCAGTGGTTAGAGCACGGTCTGCGGTCCAGAGAGACCCGGGTTTGGTTCCCGCTAAGGGCATGTACCTCGGTTACATTTGTTCCTGGCCCTGGTTGGGTCGTGTGGGTGACAACCACTCGATGTGTCCCTTTCACGTTGATGTTTCTCTCTCTCTCTCTCTCCCCCTCTCCCTCCCTCCCTCCCTCCTTCCCTCCCTCCCTCCTACTCTATCTGAACAAAAAATGGAAAAGTGTCCTCGGGTTAGGATAAAAAAAAAAAAAAATCACTTTCCCAGGAATGGACCTTATTATTAAGAAATGTATAAGTATAGACAGGGTGATATTCAAAGTGATTAACAATGGTAGCACGTAGTCATGCTCCATCAGGAGAGGTGTGGCCATTCTGGTGCTTACCAGCTCAGTATCAGTCCCAGGTAATAGCACAGCTACTCTTATCAAGCCCTAGCTTCATATCCAATCTATGGTAAATACTTTATATGCTTTATCTCAATATTATCTTTACAACAATTCTGTAAGGTCAGGATTTTATATTTTATATTTATCTAAAAATAACAGCAAACATATATATCACTGGCACAGGTTTAAGTACTTGAAATAATTCATTTACTATATTTATTAATATATACTTTAAAAAGTATATGCTTTCATTAACCCCATTGTACAGATGATTAAAGGGACACGGTGACTTGTCCTAAGTACATAACTAGTCAGTTACACACTGAGAATTTGAACCCTGGCTGTGTGGCTCTAGAGCCTGTGATCTCAACTACCACACCAGACAACCCCCACTGTGTAGATGAGGACGTGGGAGCTGCCTCAAAGTAAAGTCATGCTGTTTAAGGCTTCTGGGCTATAAATAGTTTGTGATTTCCTCTAGAAGGCTAAATAATCAGTCAAATAATCATCAGGGAAAATCCAGACAAAGTTCCTGCCACAATCTAAAATACCAAGAAGATGAGGTCCCCATAAAAATACCAAGTTTTCCATTTCTTAATTTGTTCAAAAATAAAACTGGGTATCTCATGGTATATATTAGCTATGGCAACACTCACATACCAAATATACAGTACAAAGTCAAGAACTTGACTTAGCTATGTGCTATATCTCATTTTGAAATACTTTAAGTGTCTGATATTTGTAATATATAGATGTCTTTATGTGTAATATATGAAGAGTTAAAAAAAGTAATACATGAAGGTCATATTGAAATTCTTTAATGCAAAACTACTGTATGTAATGCATGAATTTATCTATAGCTATACACACACACATGTGAACATACCTATCTATATGAACATTTGTAGTATGTTAATACATTTCATAAAATAAAAAAAGTTTAGAGTTAAGAAAGATCTTAGGAGTTCTGTAGTCTTGTTCATTCGTCTTTTCAGAAATGAAAATAGGCTCAGAGAAGAAAAGAGGTATACCTATGATTAAATTATGAGGACGATGTTTCTCAAAGCACAAAATTTGGCATTTTACATCGGTGACTCATTGAAAAGGCAGATTTTTAAAAAATGTGTTTATTGATTGTTTTTTTTAGAGAGAGAGGAAAGGAGAGAGAGATAAAAACACAGATGTGAGAGAAACATCAATCGGCTGCCTCCTGCACGCCCCCTACTGGGGATCAAGCCCACAACCCGCACATGTGCCCTGACGGGGAATCGAACTGGGACCTCTCAGTCCATGGGATGGTGCTCAATCCACTGAGCCACACTGGCCAGCTGAAGAGAAGCAGATTCTTGAAGAGCACATCAGAATTCTTAAGTCAGAACCTCTGAGAGTAAAACCTGGGAAACTGCATTTTCACCATCTCCCAGGTGATTCTTAGGTATAACACGTATCTTTGAGTGAAACCCCCTGGGCTAACTCACAGCAAAGCTGAAAACAGAGCCCAGATTTCTCAAAATCCAGTCCAACTCTCTACTCCAACCATGTTGTCCAGACATGATGCATACACACTGTACTAGTGACAACAAATTAAAGCAGGAATATACAGCACTGTGGCTGAGAGCACAGGGTCTGAAGCCACTCTGCGGAGTTCATATTGCAACTCTGCCCCTGACTAGTTATATCACTTTGGGTAAGTTACTCAACTGTCTGTGTCCTTATTGACTCATCTGTGATAAGGGTAATAAGAGAACTACCTCTTAAAGTTCTGTGAGGATTAAATTAGTTTAATATATGTAAAGGGTTTAAAATACCAAGTGATATATAGTAAGCACTTACTAATACTTCCATGCTGCTTTAAAATTATCATCAAATACACACACACACACACACACACACACACACACGCATGCATTGGGGAACCTCAACATAACCATAACTGTAAAGTGGCCTTCGGTCATAAACAGTCATCTTCCCCAGTACATGAGATTAAGCAATAAGATGACTTTAAGGGGGCTGGACCCCATAGGAGTTTAGATGGTAGGGTTGTAAGTCATTTTGATGGTCAGAAAAACACATTAAAATCTCATTGCTACATGGTTAAAATGATATGGTTAACTGGATTTCAACCTATCATGCAATCTCAACATCATTCCCAAATGAAAGTTAAAATGTATAAATAGATTTATCTTAATTTACATGATAAGGAATGTGAAGAGACCTTAGAAGACTGTGCTAAAAGCATAAAGATAAAAATAGTAGTAAACATGGTAGGAGAAGGACTAGTAATGTTAACAGCTAGCATTTATATAACAATGTGCTCAGCACCTAATGAACATCATCTTTGATTTTCAAAACCCTATGAGATAGACAGTATTTTTTCTTACTCTGTAAGTCAAGGACATTAAGACACTTACACAAGGATACACATGTAGTAAGCAGAACAGGGCTTCGAGGCCAGGTACACTCATCTCCAAAATCCATGTTCTCAACTATCATACTATTCTCACTTCCTTTATTAACCAAATTCAACACTTACCCCCAAAGGCTTACAGATGCCAAGGCGTACAGTGCCTGGTGGCACAGCTTTCAACACTTCCACAGCATCAGCAAGTTTGGTGTTGTCCAAACAGTACTGATTGACTGAGACCAGGCGGTCTCCAGGTAACAGTTTTCCACTTCTTTCTGCAACACCATCCGCCACCAGGGAACGAATCACAATCACTGATCTTGTGGCATCTAAGGGGTCCTAATGATCAAACAAAAAAGAAAGATGAGCCAGCTCCAAGAACAAATATACAGCATTAAGACAATTTATGCTTATTCATGAATCTCGTTTAATCGTTTACTTCATGTGTCTGGCATTCTGGTGATCTTCCGAAGCGGGCACAATCTCCTAAACTATCACTCTAAACATCCACACTGATATTAGTTCATATCGAGATGAAGATATAACCTTAACAATTTCAAAAACAGCTCCATACATATAAATTTCTTTTTAAGACTTTTGGTGACATATTTTGTTGAATAATCAGGTCTAGGGAAACTCGGCAAGATTCTCTGACATCCTCAACCACAGTCATACTATGGATCAAAGATAAGCCCATCTATTATTGCTCTTGGGCAATAAGTAAGCTTCCAGACAAGTATCCTATATGATAGTCCATTCGTAGGCATCCTACCAGTATAGAATCCCCCTGCTAATTCACTTAAGTTCAAAAAAAGACATGGAAACCATGGCATATTCCACTGCATTTAAAAAGTATGTTGAAAAATAATGTAACATAAAATTATGACACAGTATAGGTACCCGTAGGTGAGAACTATTCATATGTAGAAATAAACAGAAAATGAATACCAACTTATGAACAAAACCAATGTGCAAATCTCTCTCATCCATATTTCTTTTCACTAAGCACTGAAGATAACATTGACATAAATACATTTGGTTAATAAAAATCAATTTCTAATCCCCCCACTTTTTTTTATCCTCTCTCAAGGACTTTTTTTTTTTCATTTATCTTCAGATAGAGTGGGAGGGAGAGAGGGAGGAAGAGAGAAAGAGAAACATTGATGTGAGAGAGACACACCAAGTAGCTGCCACCCACATGACCCCATCCGGGGCCAGGGACAAACTGCAACTGAGGTATGTACCCTTAGCGGGAACCAAACCCGGGACTCTCCGGTCTGCGGGCCAACGCTCTAACCGCTGAGCCAAACCGGCCAGGGCCCCATTTTTATTTTTTATTTTATTCATTGAACACTGATATATAGCACTAATCTATGTCAGGCTCTGTTCTAAGTGCCCGACAATCATTAATTAAACGAATCCTTACAACAAACTTCAGGATGTGGGTAGATTTATTGTCTGTATTTTACAAGGAAACTTTTCAAGGTCACCCAGCTGGCTCCTAAGCCCTCATTTTTTACCACCACGCTCTGCTACCTGCCCTGCACCATAACAACAGAAGAAATTGGAAATAAAGAGTTGTGAACGCAAAGACATATTCACATGGAAATCTGGTTGAGTAGCATCTATTACTCTGTCCTAATGGTAGAGGTAGATGGTACTATGTGGCGTTAAACCTCAGACTTGGTTGGGAGAGAAAAAGGAATCCCAATGACAGCAGCAGGTGCTTTGCCTTGTCTATTTGCTCCCGTTTCATTATGCACAGGGTGTTCCATAAAGGCAAGACGTGGTAACGTGAGATTCTACTGCTGTTAACTTCTATTATACCCTTGCTCAGAAAGTAGAGAGAAACTGCCACGTTTTGTGTTAGAACTATTAAGACTTTGGAGTTAACAAAGTAATAATCTGCCAAGTTCTAAGCTATGTCTGAAGTGTCTGATGGTTCCTTTGAACACTTCTGATCCAGTTTCCTATACCTCTGTGTTTCAGACATCAAGGTTCATTTTCCAGCGCTACACGGAATTTCAAACAAATATGCCACATTTGAATCAAAAAGGCTGCCCAGCTAATTCCTTGAAAAATGCCTTCAAACAACTTATCTTACTTTCCTTAACCAACCTTGCCCTCCCACTCCCAAGTCAAGAGATTCTTGGTGAATTGCTCACATGCTCTGATGTATAACATGACATATTTATGAAGAGGACCGACAGTACAAATCATCATGGGAACTCATTAATAAAGTACACAGTGTTAAACTATAATTACACCAATATTTTCAAGTAGAGGGAGCTATTGCATAGGAAGAGAACAGAAAGGAACAACAACAAAAAACCCACAGTGGTGTATCAGCAGGCAATCGGCGCTGTGATATAAAAGAGCTGTCCATTTTGTCACTGGCGCCCATGAATCACAACACACTTTTCATTCTGAAATATGAAACCATTACATTTTAAGTTTGACACACTAATAAATAAGCTGTACAATTATGTCCTTCATTTAGGATGTCAGTTTTTGATGGAAAGCTTTTTTATTGGGGGGGAAGGGAAACTACATAATAGCTTATTCCCCTTGTGAAATGCACAGAAAGCAGCTAGCATTACTTCATATTAATAATTACTCAACTTTCTTAGAGAAAACTGCAACAGTAAAATATACCAAAAGCAAATAAATGATTTCACTCGGTTGGTGTGAATGATCTCTGTAGTTTCATATAACACCAAATCAAAGAGTAGTATTTTTAACCCAATAAATAGGGGAACTGGTTTTCAAAATGCAACCAGCTGAAATGATAATTAGAAACATTTCAAAGGAAGATGAACTCAGCAATAATGGAATAGTTATGGGGAGCACTTATTTACACAAAGTCCAGTCTTCTTTAGACCTCAAGCTAGTATCAGGTGTGCTTGCTTACTAAAACGTACTCAGGCTTCGTTCTCCAGTGATTCTAAACACTGAATCTAACCAGTCACCTCTCCCAGTGGCAGCTTCTTTGTCACTTAAAAAAGACGAACCACCACCTCTGAAGATGCCCCGTTGTGTATGCACACTGCTTCCTTTTCTGTGATTACTTTCTGACTGTGTGATTTTCCACATAGCTGACTGAAGTTGCTTTCATGAGTAACGGTCACTCCTTTCGTGGTCATCATATGTAGCAGAGACCCTATGGACACACAGTTTGCAGCTGCTACTGCCAACTGGGGTGGCTACTATTCTTGAGGCTTTGCTGCATCAAAAAATGCTAAACAACAGGCAACAAACAACAGCCAGATTAAGGCTGCTTCTCACCAGAAAAGTTTATTTTCTGAAATACAGTTTATAATAGTCTACCCATGTTATACACAACAAAATGTTATGAAGATATTACTCACAACCACTATCCAATTCCTAGACCCCATGCAGACTTTTAAGTCCCTGTCAATTTTTATTGACTTGAACATATTTTTAAAATCTCTAACTTTTCTTATTTTGGTAAATAACACTGCAAGGAACACTGTCTTCAGGAATCGAGATGTTTTAGACTAAATAGCCAATAGAGGGCACTAAAGATCAACCACGAAACACAAGAAACATCTTTTACTAGGCGAGCCATTCTCTTCCCTCTTTATTCAAAAGACATTTTCCCTCTTTATTCAAAAGCCTTATATCATCATACATGTTCTAACAGTATCCCATATGATTGCTTCAACCCAACCACTGATGAAGGTTTTCTTACAGCTCTTAAAAATATTATCAAACTCCTACAATTAATTAAGAACGGCCAACCTTATTCAGAACACTATATAAGAAAAGAGGTGATCTTGCCTGAATTCTCTTCACTATTTAGCTGCAAATTCCTAAGAGAACCACCTAATTGGTATGTCACAAGTGAATAAAATCACCATACCTGTCTGAAGAAAAATGGATATAAGGATTTTTGAGCTCTCTCAAAGTGACGCTAATGTTTGATATCTATTATAAATACAGGATGTGTCAATGTTGGGGAAAATCCAAGCTGACAAACAGTCCCCCTCCCCCTCCCTGAGTGGCATCACCCACGCATTCTCTTACTCTCCCTCACCTCTCCACTGAGTTGCTGACTAAGGCACATCCCTTTGAGCTTCTCTTGCTTTGGAGCTCTCTCTCCATCTCCACTGCCACTATTCTGATTGTTTCTCATTATTTCTAACCTGTGCAACTGCTACAGTCTCCCCACAGTCCACCTGTCTCCAGTCTTACCTCCATCCATCTGTTTAATACAGAGATTAAAAAATGACCTTTAAAAATAAAAATGTGACCACAATTCCTCCTTGGCTTAAAACACTTCAGTGATACAGCCTTCAGGATAAAGTCCCCACTTTTTGGCAGAGAAATCTGTTCAGCTCTACTGTTCAGTCTGGTCTCCTTTTGCTGTCCCCCATAGACCACTGGCCACTCCCACTCGCCCCACACACTCTGCCAACAATACAGCCCTGCGGAAACTCAGGGAGTGTGACATGCTTCACGACAGCCTATAAACCATTCCACCTGCAGGGCACATACATCCTCCCTGCCCCACGTCCACTCATCAACATCTTTGTCATGACATTCAGCTCAAGTGTTTCTTCCCATGAGAAGCCTCCCCTGGCTCCCCAAAGACTCAAGCATGTCCTTACTCAGTGGTATCTCTAAAGCTAGAAAAGACCATCCAGGACAGCATTTGTCAAAATATCTCTCTCTTACTGTCCCTGATCTCCTAGATGAAGAGAGACTCTCTTGCTTGATGTATTGACAGCACCTTGCATTTTTCCTATTATAAAACTTTTGACATTTTACTGAAATTATTTTAACCATCTTCCCAACTGAAAATAAGCTTCATGAGAGCAAAAATATGTTTGCTTATTTGTTGCTTTTTCCCCGGGGCCTACTACAGTGCCTGCCACATAGAAGGTACTGAATAGTAGTTGAAATATCGAATGACTGAATCTATTCAGTTTCTCTCTCCTCAGTGGATCAGAAATACACCAAAAGCATACTATTATATATGAATAACAACAATAACATCAACAGGGCACACTTCCTGAGCTCTTGCCATACCAGGCATGTTCTAAGAATCTTACTTATTTGAACCTATTTAATCCTCACACCTACACGAGGTTGGTACCATTATTATCCTTACTTTCCAGATGAGACAATTACGGCAGAGGAAAATTAAAGAACCCAACTAAGACACACAGTTGATAAATGGCAGAACCAGAATTTAAACACGTTAGTTAATTTCTGGAGTTTATGCTCTTAGCCACTAAATGATGCACCTTCTCTATCTTAAGGTAAGTATTTGCTAAGCGACTGAATAAATGTTGAAAGAAGGCAAATTGTTAGAA